GTCACCAACTGGAAAGAGAAGGTTAATCACAGAACAAACAAACTTTATTTTCAAAAGTTACATTTGGACACACAGGCCTGTCTTACATTCATGAATGGAGGCTAGTCATATCTGCAGCAATGAACCCCAAGGACTCAAAATGCTGGAGAAGAATAATACCCAAAAAAATCTGAATTTATCAGTGGTCATATTCAGCCATCATGAAAGTAATGCATTGAAAATAAACTGATAACTGTGTTTTTGTCCTTAAAATTTGCTGCCAGTCATTCTGGGATTGACACATTCACATAAAATATGCATTCAATTTAATATAAAGTTAAATCACACGCCACTTCCAAGCGTTATATACACATAATTCACAATAGCACTTCCGAACACCATACATATATAATTCAAAACAGCACTATCAGATGTTAAAAACACACAAATTTTATAATAACATCCACATGTCACATAATTGCCCCAACACAACACCAAAAACAAATTCACACAAACACATCCGTACATGTAAGCAGAATTCACACAAATGCATCCAGACATCAGACAGAATTTACACCGGCACACAGAGATATCACACTGACCGTACAGGTATTACTTACGATAACCAGGTTCACATTCTGGACTACATTTGTGCTGATCATAAATAAACACACCAGGTTCACATTCTGGACTACATCTGTGCTGATCACACATAAACACACCAGGTTCACATTCTGGACTACATCTGTGCTGATCACACATAAACAAACCAGGTTCACATTCTGGACTACATTTGTGCTGCTCATACAGAAACACACCAGGTTCATATTCTGGACTACATCTGTGCTGATCATACATAAACACACCAGGTTCACATTCTGGACATCTGTGCTGATCCCACATAAACAAACCAGGTTCACATTCTGGACATCTGTGCTGATCACACATAAACACACCAGGTTCACATTCTAGACTACATCTGTGCTGATCACACATAAACAAACCAGGTTCACATTCTGGACTACATCTGTGCTGCTCATACATAAACACACCAGGTTCACATTCTGGACTACATCTGTGCTGATCACACATAAACACACCAGGTTCACATTCTGGACATCTGTGCTGATCACACATAAACACACCAGGTTCACATTCTGGACTACATCTGTGCTGATCATACATAAACACACCAGGTTCACATTCTGGACATCTGTGCTGATCACACATAAACACACCAGGTTCACATTCTGGACTACATCTGTGCTGATCACACATAAACACACCAGGTTCACATTCTGGACTACATCTGTGCTGATCATACATAAACACACCAGGTTCACATTCTGGACTACATCTGTGCTGATCATACATAAACACACCAGGTTCACATTCTGGACTACATCTGTGCTGCTCATACATAAAATGCAATGATTTAAAATCCAGATTAAAAAAGGTAGTCAACAGAACAGAATTGTGAACATACCCTTGAAACTGATTTTATAATGCATTACCAAGTTACTTGTCACTGTTTAAGCAAAAATGCATCACAGGACTTCTATGTCTTTGTTTTACAGCAACAAATTGTGGCAAACAGTGACAGTGTGTGCCCATCAGTTTCAGGGGGCTCTACTAAGGGATGAAACAACTAATAGTGCCCCTGAAACCTACCAAGCATGTTATAAGAGATAAGTAAGAAAAACAAAAACAAGGACCACACAACAAGCAATAAACACCTGGTGACACAAAGTGCCACCAATCAGATGAGAATCACCCGGGCGCAATTCCCAGAAACCTTGTTGAGATGGACAAACAGAAGGCAGTGTGAGGACGCACATGCACTGTAAAAGACAGGGATCTCTGATGGAGATCCAGTGCAGCCAAACTTCACTATGGAGATGGCACCTGACTGACAGAGCTTCAGCTGCAAAGTCCTACCAACAGCAGACATGTCCACTGAACAGGAGAGAGAAAATAAAAACTGCAAACTGATAGGGCAAAGGAGTGAAATGAATTCCTAAGTTTTAACTGATTTGTAGACTTTGAAAAGGCAATAGCAATGATTAGAAATCTATTTTGAAATTGACGAGAAGATCGTTAACTTGAAAGGCAACGTGAAATGGTGTTCAGTATGAGGAAAGTTTGCTGGGTGGGCTCAGAGCCCCACTGTGGGTACAAGAAGAGATCCACTGCCTCCCAAAAAACAAAAAAACAAAAAACAAAAAAAATGCCGTAAAAGTCGACTAACTAGAGACTTTCTTCGAAGTCGCAGTGGATCTGCCTCAGGTGCAAGGAACCAACAATCTGCATACACATAAGTCAGATCGGTAAAATGGATGTGAATGCGACAGTCAAGTTCTGGAACGAAACTAAAGTCCAAAGGTGGACGAGCAACCAGAACTTTCCACCGCATTTTAAAATCTGTGAATGCGAAGAAGAAGAAGAAAGTATGAGGAAAAAGAAATAGGAATGGAATGCAACATGGAGACTTTTCACAACCTTCAGTGTTCTTATTGACAATATATTATGAATCCATTGCTAACTATGGGTATGCTACGCAGTGAGGGGCCAGTAACTACAACAGTGTGACTCTCATACCACTGCCTGAAAGCCATGAGAACAGTCTTAAGAACTACAGCTACAACTACAGCGAATAGTTCCGACACTAATGGTGCCAGTAGCATTCTGATTAAACGTCCGTCTTGCTTTTCCTCTGAGCCTCGAGTATCTGCCAGAACCTCTCGTCACTCCCCCCTGCATCAATCTCCCCAGACTGTGGGGATCCATCTGCTCCTCCAAACTGTACACGCTCTCCCACAAGGCATTAACCACGTCTGCCTTATCATGTATCAGTATTCCACCAAGTTGTGCAGATACCACTAGAAATGAAACCTGTTAGTATAATCAGACAAGAACTCTCTGGGACTCACTGGGCAAAAGAAAAGGGGATCTTACAAATACATGACAAAAATTATAAACAAAGACAAGGGGTCAGTTTAAAAAACAAAAACTGAGAAGATAACTATAAACACACTTATATATAGATAGATGGACACTAAGAGGGAGCCTATGCTCCATTTGATGACAGAGGAAAACTTTCATATAAGCTTACAAGTGTTTGTTATGACTAATATAGCCTGACCAACATAAAAGCAAAACACCTATTTACAGCACAAAAATCAATAAAACAATTTGCTGTCTATGGTATCAACCACCTTTAGCAGATCAGTGTGGCTGATTCAAGAGAAAGACTTGGACAAGTAGCATGTGTCCCTGCTACAGAGCTGCTGGTGGCAATGAAGACAACATACTCCTTCTCATGGTAGTGGTGTAGTTGGTTTTGTCTGTACAGCTGCTGCAACAACAAAGTTAAACCATTATAATTATTTTCACATTTTAATGTAACAAGAACAGGTTTAGGGTTTTAAGGTTTAATTGATGGATCAACATAATGGCACATGGGTATTAACATATTAAGTGCTCCGTTCTACTTCATACTCAAGTCTCAGTCCGAAGACTCTTAGCGCAGTGCATGAACTCCGTAGCACCGGCGAGGATCCTGAAATACTTTGAGTAAATTTTCAACTCCACATTTTGCCCTGGCAGCGCCGTTAGGCAACTCTTTTCGATTTCCAACTGCCAAGGGATTTTTTACGTGCGCAACAATACACAGGGGTGTCCAATCTTACTACCCAGAGACCAGGTAAATTTACCAAAGTCCGCGTGAAAAAATCCCAGCCTTCACTGGGGCCTGAACCCAGGACCTTGAGCATTCAAGGCGGAAGCCGTGCCTCGAGACATGCAGCCCCTCAATTGTTACAAAGAGAAGTGCAGTGCAGGCCTCATAACAAAGAGAAGTACAGTGCGGGCCTCATGAGAAGAACTCACCAGGGACCCAAGAAATGATTCTACTTAACCCCCGTGTGGGTTCCGGGGCCCCATTGTGGGGAAAACAAGAATAGACCCACTGCCTCACCAAAAGCATGTCGTAAGAGGCGACTAATTGGGGAGCTTCCTTTGAAGTCGGAGTGCATCTGCCGGAGAGGCAAGGAACCAACAGTCTTTATTCAAGAGAATAAGATCTGTAAAACTGATGCACACGCAACACTCAGGTTCTGGAGCAGGACTGCAGTTCAGTAGTGGACGAGCGACCAGAACTTTCCGCCAGAGTTTACAGCTGGTGAACGCGAAGAAGAAGAATAAGAAGATTCTACTTAACAGAATTCCTCTCATTCAGATAAGAATTCATGCAAGAAAAACTGCTAGGGATAAACAAACTGTTCTCCACACCAGAAACTCACCACATCTGAAGCGGTCTGTACTGTATTAACAAACCACCATGAAGAATCAAATACACTTCTTTAAAAAGCCAATATGTGAAACGGATTAAATCTTTTGCTGCTCTTATCCTTAAAACGGAAGTTGGCCTACTGCACTGTGGTTTACAGCTGGGCTGTGATAAAAGTGCCTTTCAACCCAACAATTGAAGAAAAAAAAAAACACACACAAATTAGTCAACTTTTACAGAATTAAGTGTTATGGAGCAGTGGATCTATTGTTCTGTTTTTTCCCCAACAAGTGCATCAAACATCGGAAGAATGGTGAAATGGCGGCTAAACGTCCGCTGCTAAAGAGTGGAACATGTGTAGAACGGTCATTTATTATCGGCCTATACCGGCTTTATTTGACGCCAAACTCGGGGGGAGACAGATAAACTAGCCCAAGCTGACAGCTGCATTACTTAAATGGCGTCGCTGGCGTCTGAGAAGACGAAATGCCCGAGTAAAAATAAAATGAAAAGTGAACTGAAATTTAAATGTTAATTTTCTAACATGGTAGGGGAGAACATCTTATGGCCAACCAGTGCAAGGCAGGCTGACGTGATTAACTAATAATGTCAAGGAAACAATCTATTGCGGGTGTGTCAAGTGTTTGGTCATCACATAATATAGACCATAATGAGCTGTAGAGGCCAGTTACTGTCGTTACCTTCCTTCATTTTCAAATAATCGAGACAATCGTCAGGGTGGTTTCCAAGCTGGGTTGAGAGTCCAATTTAAAAATGAGCAGGTATACATGAATAGTGATCATTTTCTTATTCTTCTTCACGTTCACTTCAGCGGAAAGGTGTGGTTGTTCTTCCACTTCTGGACTTCTAGTCCTGTTCCAGAAATTGAGTGCTGCATGCACATCCGTTTCACAGATCCGACTCATTTGAATGCAGACTGTTGGTTCACTGCCTCTCAGGCAGATGTATCCCGACTTAGAAAAAAAGCTCCTAATTAGTCAACTCCTGCGTCATGCTTTTGGGCAGGCAGTGGGTCTATTCTGGTTTTCACAATGGGGCCCTAGAATCCATACAGGAAATGAATAGTGATAATAGGTGTGCAATTTAATTAGATGAATATAAAATGGCATCTTGCGACTTTGATGAATACAAAGTGATACATTGAAACCTAGACGAAAAAGAGTTGCTGTGACACTTAACACGAAGACACTTAAAATTTTTAATAACACCTAAATAAAGGGATGGAACAAATTCAGTCAACAGCTAGCATACTACATGAGAACAGCAGGCTGCAAAGCAAGAGGCCGACCAAGAATCACCTGGGTGGAGGGAGTAAAAGAGAGACTACAGAAACACTGTAACATTTACGCAACTAGCAAAAGACAGGAAACTACATATGACTCATCTATGCGACGCTTCACAGTATAAGGAGTAAGACAACGATAACAACAACAAAAACGTAGAAGAAAGAACATGATCAGTCAATATGACATCTATATAAACATGAAGTGAAACATTGAAATGACACATTGAGGAACATGAATCCTCATGACACCTACATGAACATGTACATTCATTCTGACACATAGCTGAACAATCATTATAACCCCCTTGCTGAACATGATGAACAATCATTAGGACACCAAACTGACAATGATGAAAAATCATTAAGCACCAAACTGACCATGATGAAAAATCATTAAGCACCAAGCTGACCATGATGAAAAATCATTAAGCACCAAACTGACCATGATGAAAAATCATTAAGCACCAAGCTGACCATGATGAAAAATCATTAAGCACCAAGCTGACCATGATGAAAAATCATTATGTCACCAAGGTGACCATGATGAAAAATCATTAAGCACCAAGCTGACCATGATGAAAAATCATTATGACACCTAGCTGACCATGATGAAAAATCAATATGTCACCAAGGTGACCATGATGAAAAATCATTATGTCACCAAGGTGACCATGATGAAAAATCATGATGTCACCAAGGTGACCATGATGAAAAATCATTATGTCACCAAGGTGACCATGATGAAAAATCATTAGGCACTAAGCTGACCATGATGAAAAATCATTATGACACCAAGGTGACCATGATGAAAAATCATTATGACACCAAGGTGACCATGATGAAAAATCATTATGACACCAAGGTGACGATGATGAAAAATCATTAAGCACCAAGCTGACCATGATGAAAAATCATTATGTCACCAAGGTGACCATGATGAAAAATCATTATGACACCTAGCTGACCATGATGAAAAATCATTATGACACCTAGCTGACCATGATGAAAAATCATTATGACACCAAGGTGACCATGATGAAAAATCATTATGACACCAAGGTGACCATGATGAAAAATCATTATGACACCAAGGTGACCATGATGAAAAATCATTATGACACCAAGGTGACCATGATGAAAAATCATTATGACACCAAGGTGACCATGATGAAAAATCATTAAGCACCAAGCTGACCAAGATGAAAAATCATTATGACACCAAGGTGACCATGATGAAAAATCATTATGACACCAAGGTGACCATGATGAAAAATCATTAAGCACCAAGCTGACCATAATGAAAAATCATTATGTCACCAAGGTGACCATGATGAAAAATCATTATGTCACCAAGGTGAACATGATGAAAAATCATTATGACACCGAGCTGACCATGATGAAAAATCATTATGACACCTAGCTGACCATGATGAAAAATCATTATGACACCTAGCTGACTATGATGAAAAATCATTATGACACCTAGCTGACCATGATGAAAAATCATTATGACACCTAGCTGACCATGATGAAAAATCATTATGACACCTAGCTGAACACGACGAACATTTAGTATGATTATTAGACAGCTGAACATGACAAACAATGATTATGACCCTTAGCTGAACATGATGAACATTCATTATGACCAATAGCTGAACAAGGTAAACAATCATTAAAACACCTAGCTGAACATGACAAACAGAATCATTAGGACACCTAGCTGAACATGATAAACAATCATTATGACACCTAGTTGAACATGATGAAAAAACATTATGACACCTAGCTGAACATGATGAACAATCATTATGACACCTAGTTGAACATGATGAACAATCATTATGACACCTAGTTGAACAACCATTGTGACCTCTAGCTGAACTTGATGAACAATCATTATTAAACCTAGCTGAACATGACAAACAAACATGACACCTAGCTGAACATGATGAACAATCATTATGAGTTTGGCTATACCTTTGCCTGTAAAATTGTAACCATATGCTGCGTAAGCTGCTGTCATTCCGGCTTGTGCCCCTGCTATTTCTGCCGCAGACATAGCCTTTTTAGCACTGCCCCTTCCTCTTGGTCTTCTACCCACACCGGAACCTCTTGGGCGGCCACGTCCTCGTCCACGTTTTGGTGGTTGAGAAGGTGTACTGGTAACTGAAAAGACATTCACATGTTTTTAGCTAGGGAAGTGAAATGCTGAAGACCAGCTATTTCATCTGGCTCTGAAACTTGGAACACAACTAAAAGAAACAAAGACTTACAATTTTTAAAAACAGTCCAATGATGAATTTTTGGACCCATCAAAAATGCAAACAGCGGGAATGAAGAGTGAGAAGCAATAATGAAATTCATAATCTGTTTAAATCATCATGATCACTGGCATCATGAGGACTAACAGACTGAAATGGTTGGGACATATTAAGAGAATGTCAGATGACAGAGAGGTAAAAACTGTGGACACAAATGCGTTGAATGCTCATAGACCATGAGGCAGACCAAAAAGACGAGGAACATGTAATATCCAGACAGACCTACAAACACCTGGTGTCACCAATGGATAAGAAAGGGCCAACCAGAGATGAATGGAGGTGGGTGATATCTGCAGCAATGAACTTCAGGGAATCACAAAGGTGAAGAAGAAGAAATGATATGCTCAGATGTCAAAGTCCATGTAAAACAAAATATAGAACTTAACACATTTAAAGTTAACATAAAAGAATTTGTTACAGCAAGAAGAGGAAACTAAGAAGAAACTATGAAAGGAAATTTCTTCTGTGTCTTCAAGGCCAGCTGAAAATCAACAGATATTGTGGAATCTGTGCAATACTCTTAGTCGCTCTGCTGAGACGAAATGAACCAGATGGGACAGAGCTTTAAAGTTGATTCTCTCGTCTGTAATCTCTAACAGCAACTAATTGTATTTATTCAGTCCTCTTGTTAATTAGTGAACACACATACACACACAAAAACCCACACATATGCATGCATTGCAAGTTACAGGTTGACAGATAATAAATAATATATATTAATTGTTGAGTATCAAGAAACTGCATGTGTGCAAACATACTGGTGTGCAATAAAATTACTTAACCATTCAATCAGTTAGTCACGGATTTTGAGTTGACCAGTTAACTGCAGTTCTCTGCAAACGGGTCACCCCACAGTTGCTCCGTTCTTGTGTTCGTGAAAATCGCACAGAATGCCCACCGTTATCCCTAAGCATTAAATGCATATGGTAGTCTTCAGATGTTCTAGTACAAACATTTCAACACCAGAATTGTAGTTCATCATCAATGCCAGCAGCAGTTACAAAAAAAATCAGCAGCTGCACATGCAATTAACCTCATACGGCATCATTAAGCCACTACATACCTGGAGGAAATAATGTGTGTGCATCATCCACAATCAGCATCCCCCCATCATTGCTGTCATCCTGCATCATGATTGATGTTGCTTCACTGCCCACGGACATCTGAGAAGTCAAGCAAAAAATATCAGACTACTCAAATACATTTGTTAAGTCTTCTTCTTCGTGTTCACCAGCTGTAAACTCTAGCGGAAAGTTCTGGTTGTTCAACCACTTCTGACTGCAGTCCTGTTCCAGAACCTGAGTGTTGCGTGTGCATTCGTTTTACAGATCAGACTCATTTGTATGCAGACTGCTGGTTCCTTACCTCTCAGACAGAAGATGCACTCTGACTTTGAAGGAAGCTCCCAATTAGTCGACTCTCACAACATGCTTTTGGGTAGGCAGTGGGTTTATTCTTTTTTTTCCTATAACAGGGTTCCAGAACCCACATAGGGAATTTGTTAAGTAATTTCAATCTTTAAGACAGACTACATCATAAAAAAAACTTTGCAAGTCAAGGAATAAGACATTTATGTGGGGGAGGCATGACTGGAAGTTAAGAGTTAGGAACTGACACCACAGCGCTTAGGATATTGTCATAAATACTCTGTCTCCCTGCAGAGTTCCAATTGCACTGGTATCGTTACCAGTCTGATTGTATATTTGTCTCACCTCTTCCCTCAGTACTGAGTGTTGGCCAGATCCCTAAGTCACTCCTTGCTGCACCACTTGCTCGCTTTCTCTGCCAGTGCGAATCCAACAACAAATTCCTCACAATAATATTTTAATCACAGCTCTATATTTCCAAAATTCAATTAAATGTTAGTGCGGTGCAATTTTTCCTGACAAAAATAACAGTACAAGGACCTACCACACTGACTGGACTTGCTGGGGCTGAGTCTCTGCTGGCCACAGACTCTGTGTCAGGGGCAGGTATGGTGATATTGTTCTCTTCAACTACAGCAGCAGCAGCAGCCGCCGCCGCAGCAGCGGCAGCGGCCTGCTTCTTTTTGGTACCTTCTCGTTTCTGCAAATAATCAGTAGAATGAATGACATTTGAATGACATCCAACAGCATCATGTTTAACATCTGGTGCAAATAATCAATAGAATGAATGGCATTTGAATGATATCAAACAGCATCACGTTTAACATCTGGTGCAAATAATCAATAGAATGAATGAGTTATAGTAAACACTGGGATTGATTGAGTTAATGTAACAATAGAATGGGACAGAAAGACTTGTAGCGACTAGAATTCAATGAGCTGATTTGTAACAGTAGAATGGGACAGTAAGACACAGCAGCAACTGGGACTGAATGAGTTAATGCAATAGTAGAATAGGAAAAAAAATTTATAAAAGAGCAATTAGAATTTGAGGTGACGTTGAGTAGAGAGGAACAGAAAGACATAGTAGCAATTGGGTTTGAATGAGTTAATGTAAACTAATGAAACAATAGAAATTCTTTTCCCTTTCTACAATGGGGCCTCGGAACCAACACAGGGACATTCAAAAAAGGGATTTTTCTTTAATTACATGGCTCGGGATCAGCCTAGACTAAACAGGTAGCAGGAAACCACTTAGGGTGCAAAGAAGGGCAACATGATAAAAGATCATCCTACACTCTACCCAATACGGCTAAGGGTGAAGAAAAGTGTCCTTTCATTTATATTTCAAATCATTTAGCTCAGTAATGATGTGTTACCTTATACTCTCGCTTTCTCTTCCTGAATATTGCACCAAGATTAGGGTCATCGCCGACTTTCTCAAACTGCCTTGTCAGCACTGCGGACAATGAGACAACATTGTAAAATCAGGACAGACACTGCTGATCTTACTAGACCATCAACAGCACTCATCCACATAATATTCCTGAATTTTATCAGTAATTTTAACATTTCTTTTATACTATTATCAAATATTCTAAAAAATGTTAAGCCTTTGATGGTCACTGCTGCAGATATCACCCGCTTCCATTAATCTAATCTGTGACTGACCTCTTTTCAGCTGGTAAGTAAGTAAAAGGCTCTTTTCCACGACTTTAGATGTATAGGGCATATTGGGCTAGACCAATCGGCTGAAGATGGGTGATGTGGTCAGCATCACGCCAGCCGCCTTTACTTCCCGGGACTGCACTCGGTACTCACTCAAGGCTGGGTTGACCTGGGAACCAAGATCATTTTTTTTAAAAGTCAGGCTCCGCCAGGGAGCAAACCCACGACCTTCCACTCCGCAGCGAGCGTCTAGTTGCTACGCCATGGCTACTTCCCTTTTTCCAGCTGGTGACAACTCCAAATGTTTGTGGATCTGACTGAACATTATCTCTCTGCGGCCTTTTTGGCTGGTCTCATGGTCTATTTTTATTCAACTCCCTTTTGCACACAATTCAATAAATTCTTTACTAGCCCATGTTAAAATATAATCACAGAATATCTGAATTTATCCCCCCCCCCCCCCCCCCCATCTTTATTATCTCTAGTAGTTCCTAGATGAAACAGAAGGCTGTGAATAGACATAACTACCAATGCCCAGCAGCAAGGACTATAAGATGTTTCTAATATACAAAACAAAAACCATAAAAATGGGAAGATATATGAATGACATGCAATCATGACGTATGTAAAACTCCAATGTTAAAAAAAATACACTCACACTTCTTTTCCATTTCATCGTCATCTATAAGCAGTGAGACAACTTCTCTAGGTTTGAGAGAGTCAGGTTTGTAATTACCACCTGAGATCACCATCTTTTGAATCTGGAAACAACAAGTCAATAAGTGTCTGAATGGTAATTACACTGAAGGTCGGGTCAAAAAATTTGCCAAAAGACAATTTTTGAAAATATGTAATACGGCTGGCTGCATTTCTTTTAGTTGTGCTATGTTTCAGAACCATATAAAACAACTGTTCTTATCAACATTTTATACATTTAGATGCTGCAAGACAGAGACTATGACTTAAGCAGATGTTGAAGGGCATATTGTATTCTAGATTGTATTCTAGATTGTATTTCTTCTCTCTGCATGCTGAAGCAGTTGAAGTTAGCACCCAAGTACTTATATGTTTCAGTAGTACTTATATGTTTCAGTTCGTTTGATTTTCTATTATCGACATGTATGTGGCCGGAGTTTACATCCTTTCCATGCCGTGTTATTATCACGTATTCTGTCTCGTCCTGATTGATAACTAGTCCCATTTTGTGAGCTGCTTCTTTTAAACCACAAAATTTACTGCTCTACTTATTTTGCTGTATCTCAAGCTGCATTAGTATATAGTTTTATATCAACAAATAATAAAGCCAGTAAGAGAAATAATGTATCGAAAGAGTCAATGAGATAAGTGTTTTTCAATAGAGCAAATTCATTTTGTGTGTGTGTATGCGCTTCATAAATCTGTGTTACTCTGTAAGAGAGTAAATTGTACCCCACCAGGCAATAAACACCCAGTGGCACCATGCAGACGAGGATCACCCGTGAAAATGTCTCAGAAACCCAGTTCAGCAGTTAGGCCATATTTAGGCCCCCAGCAAAAGCCATGGTAGGGCTTCAAAATAACTAAAAATTTCATCCCACAAGGGGATGACGAGTAAACTAAGTGTTATTCTGTTGTGATGCAGCAAAGAGATACATAAAAATATAGCAAGCAATAAGTTGTGCAATGAACTGTTTGTGTCTGCATTATTTAAGAACAGACAAACAAATTCAAGACAGGTAAATAAAGACATGAAGGGACAAATAACTGCATGCTGACTTGTGGAGCCCATTAATATATATTTATTCTTGTACGTTTTTTCAAAATATAAATAAACTCAGGCCTACCTCACTCTTTTCTTTGGCCCTCTGCAGTATTCTCTCCTCAATTGTGCCTTTGCATATCAATCTATAGACCGTCACCTGTTTGGTCTGACCAAGCCTGTGGGCTCTGTCCATAGCCTGTTGATCAACTGTTGGGTTCCAATCACTATCATAAAATATCACCTGAAACACATAAAGTAAACAGCTGGTAACAATCCACACTGCATAATTGCAAATAAACAATGTTTTTTTTTTAAGTATAGCTTCTTCTTCTGATGCATTCCTCCAATTTTTACTTTTATCTTTCAACCTCACTGGGTTTGCCTGGTTACAGCACAGCTGTGATATTTGTGTCTTTTGGCCTACACATCTGACTTCTTAGGACAATGCTGATCTGGCACACATCCACAAAAGTTGTTTTTTTCCCCCCTTTTTATTTTGGGATAGACTGACTGTAGCCCAGCCATAAACAACAACATACCAACCATTTTCATGGGGAATGCAGAAAAACAAATGCTACATTACTGCTTCATGTGTATTTAAATATTGAACACTTGTAACAATTGTTTATCACATTTCACACACAGTGCATGCTTTCAAACCATGATGGGGATTAACGCCCGCAAAGTTGATATTTGTGCCATTCAGCTCCTCACCCCCATCTCCACACTTTGCAGTAACACAACACACTAATTTCCCACAGAATTTCCATGATAAACCATGTCCTTCAGTATCAACTATATTAACACCCAAGTCTCTAGACCAAACTCTTCCCAACTGCTAAAATCTCAATGACAAACGGTGTGTAGCACTTACAGTATCAGCTGCAGTCAGGTTGATGCCCAAGCCTCCAGCTCTGGTACTCAGCAAAAACACAAAAATATCTGACCGAGTCTGGAAATCAGCGACCATATCACGTCTGTCGGAAATTTTGGAGGACCCATCAAGCCGCATGTACGTATGTTTGCGATACCACATATATTCCTGAAATTCAAATGTTATTTATAGATTATTTTGCATATATAAAATTGAAAGGTAAAATTACTACAACTACTATTGCCACTGAGGCATGAAGAGTTATGTATTAATGTCCACATGTCAGTTCTGGGACTCCATTTTAGAGGAGAGTAAAAGAAAAGATCTATTGTCCTCTTACAAACATGTTGTTAAAGGTAAATTAGGTATTTTCTTAAATGGGATGTGCTGGACGCAGATATCTTAGCCTAGCTGTGAACCATAACAACATAATGTTCCACCTGCCAAACTGCATATAAGAGTTTTCATAGCAGAACATCTGGGAGGACGGTGAGAGGAAGAACCAAGAAAGAGATGATAAACAGTGGGGCTGAAACCTGCAAACCGAACAAATCCATCACCCAAGAAGCACAAGACAAATGCAGAAAACCACGACTCTGGACTACAACCTGGTATCAGTGAGACAACAAAAGAAGAAGAAGAAAGAAGAAATGCAGGCTCTTCTTTCAATACAGGCCGGTAGCTGGAAAGCCGCCGATCGTCTTAGTGGGAGTTCTCTCCCTTGGCTGCATTGCAAACACGGAGCGAAAAAGTCACGAATCAAATGACATACTTACCTATCATCATACGATTGCGTGTACGGTTGCGTAGTCATCATACGGTTGCGTAGGGTGTAGGGTTTGGGTTAGGGATAGGGTTAGCGGCGTTAGGGGTTGGGTTAGGGTTAGGGATAGGGTTAGGGTTAGGATTAGGGTTAGGATTAGGATTAGGGTTAGATGTGACAATTTTGACGTAGGAGTTCCATATAATGGCCGACAATCTGATGCTTGTGGGAGTGGCGGCCACTGGAATTCTCCCAAATATGACGGCAATAGCACGCGGCTGGTGCCCAATCAGTGGCGAATTGTCCGTTTGAGTAGCATCCACAGTCCGTCGATTGTTTGGGTGTGTATGTGACTGTGCGCGATTATTCGGAACTCCTGCGTCAAAATTGTTACATCTAACCCTAACCCTAACCCTACCCCTAACCACGCAAATTTATCGGTCAGTGAGTCATACAGATCTGCAGGAGTCACATCCGTGGCAACTAATACCACGTTTATATAAGGATATATTTACTTTAAAAAAAAAACCAGATTTCCCCATAGCGTCAAATAAACACCCAGATCTGGGGGAAACACCCAAGCATTGGCAGCCCTGTTGTCGACCTCACTGTCTTTTTTTATTCGCGACTTTTCCGCTCTGTGTTTGCAATGAAGCCAAAGGAGAGAACTCCTACTAAGCCGATCGGCGGCTTTCCAGCTACCGGCCTGTATTGAAAAAAGAGCCGAAATTCATATATTCTAGGCCAGTGCATGATCATTTTGGTGAAAGATTCTCCTTCCTTGATAATTTTCAGAGACTTAGGCGGTATATATTTGTGAGTTGTTAGACCAAAGAGTCTTATACTGGTGGGAATAAAACCCAGACCACTATTCTGGTAAGTAAGCATACATACTAGTTTTAACACTCAACACTCCAGGAAAAGGTGAGACATATGTACAATCAGACAGTTACTTGTACCATCGGAAATGAAATTCTACAGAGACTGCTAAACACAGATAAGTATATCCCAAGTGTTTTTTTATTACCATGCGCACGCACGCACGCACACACACACACACACTCACACACACACACACACAATCGTGAAAGGCAAAAAAGCACAAATAAGTATAATAATAATAAAACTAACTGTAGTCCATAAGCATGTTATAATTGCCACACCAAAATAAAAGGCTCCTCCTTCAGCCATATATATACATAAATACATACATATAAAGAACAAATATATAAATATATATTCTTTCTTTTTCATGTTAACCAGCTCTAAACTCAGGTGGAAAGTCATGGTTGACAACATTTTCTTGTTCCATTAGGGCTTGAGTATAGCGTGCACATCAGTTTGACACATCTAGCTTATTTGTGCTGCAGACTGCTCATAGCCTCTTGGGCAAATAGACTCCACCTATGAAGGACATGTCAATTCTATCTTCACTGGCCAGGCTCCTGGTAGGAACCTGTTTCTAGGATGATCAGGGAGAGATTAACAGTACCGCCCGGTCCTGGTGCACCACACGTTGCCCATAGGAGGTTCAGCACCTCTGCATTCACAACCATATATGAGTACAGGCTAGTACATCTTAGATGAAGAAAGTTTGTAGGACAACCTGACATTCTTTTAGCAAGTTTTTTTTTCTCTTCTCTGCATGCTGAAGTTGTTTTGCTGGATTTCCTACAGTGCACTTCCACCAGCATCTTCCAGACCTAAAACAGGTGGCAACACACCACCAGACATGGAAAGCTCTGCCCTTTGCGCCGCCCTAGAAAAGACTAGCTAATTAACCAACTATCGGTTACAGTCAAAAGCCCTTTTGTCACAGGTTGTTTTATTCATGCCAACATTTTCAAGTTTCACACAGGTTTCATAATAATAACCATTGACATCCAGTTTTGACTTAAAACTGTTTACCATCTTCCCAGAGCCTAAATCTGTTTATCGTCTTTCCAGGGCCTATCACTCATATTGTACTGGCTTCTGAATACAGAGATCTGATATGAGTACCTATGGCCTAGAAACTGTACATGTGGCCAAGAAACTACACGTGGCCAAGTGACTGTATATGTGGCCAAGAAACTGTACACGTGGCCAAGAGACTGTATATGTGGCCAAGAAACTGTACACATCGCCAAAAGACTAAATGTGGCCAAGAGACTGTATAGATGGCCAAAAGACTGTATATGTAGCAAAGAGATTGTATAGATAGCCCAAAAAAAAACTGTACATGTGGCAAAGTGACTGTATATGTGGCCAAGAAACTGTACACATGGCCAAAAGACTATATGTGGCCTAGAGACTGTACAGATGGCCAAGAAACTACATGTGGCCAAAAGAAACTGTACACGTGGCCAAAAGAAACTACACGTGGCCAAGAAATTGTACACGTGGCCAAGAGACTGTATATGTGGCCAAGAAACTGTATACATAGCCAAAAGACTGTATATGTGGCCAAGTGACTGTATATGTGGCCAAAAGACTGTACAGAGGGCCAAGAAATTGGATTCTGCACTAAGCAGTACAATATCGCCTGACCTATAAATATATATATATATATAGTGGCGCGGTGATTTATGTCACAGGCGTGAGGGGAAGTTAAGTCCAACATGATGTGTATAAGGAGATACTCCGTACGTCACTCGGGCGCCAGTCCTTTAATATCCTGGTTGTACGGAACCTCACGCAAGACCCCGGCAGCACGTCCTCGTCGTGCGCCACGGATAATGTCTCAAATGAGCATTAACAGAGCTGTCAGGGGATCTCGGAGTTTGGCGGCCCCCAGAGGTGATGTGTCCTTGTGGCTCTCATCAGCCCGCCCCCAAACGCTTGGGTGAAAAAATGTTATTATAACTCATTAGGAACATGAGTAGGTCTGCCAAACGTACAGCCAAAATTACAACCCTTGGTTAAAAGACTGCGGAGTAAAGAGGAACATTGTTCACTGCACATCCTCTGTTAACCCTCAGTGTCGTCGTCACCGCGCTGGGGTACACCACAACAGCAACCATCCATAGGCTGGCCATTCATGTACATCCTCGGTTAACCCTCAGTGTCGTCGTCACCGCGCTGGGGTACACCAAAACAGCAACCATCCATAGGCTGGCCATTCATGTACATCCTTGGTTAACCCCTCAGTGTCGTCGTCACCGCGCTGTGGTACACCATAACAGCAACCATCCATCGGATGGCTAAGCCTAAATGTCCGACAAAACTAGATCATACGGATCAAAATCTGCCCTCAAAACTTGTATTGAACTGAAAAAGATCGAATGTCCACACACCAAAGACCCCACTCGCCCGAGTGTTGGGACAAAACTGATACGATATGCCTGGAGCAGGATGTAAAATCCTGTCGGGCTAACGACTCGTCAAAGAAATTTTCGTGCGAAGAGAAAAAAGAATGTACCTATCTGTGTGGTCACAAAGGTCCAAAACCCACGGGCTGCTCCCCGCTGACTTCCAGAGGGCGCAGCCCCTGTCGAGCGGGAGGCCTGATACGGTTGTGAGGTTAAGCAGGCATGAGCAGGACGTGACGATTCCTTGGGTGAGCCCAGAACCAGAGCGCCATGTGCCGGCTCTGCATACATGGATGCCTCCTTGGATGGCGGGGAATGCCCATGATCTGCCCCTGCCTTCCCTTGAGGGCTAACTGCTCCACAGGGGGCTGACCCAAAGGGGTACTCCGGGGGCAATACCTGCGGCAAAGGAGACAATGTGGACACCACACAAATCAGGCAACGTCTCGACCCACACAAAACTGGCCACAGTCACCCTAGAAATAGGCCTGACGTCTTCCTTCGAAGTCGGCGTACAGCTGCCCATGAGGCAGGGAAATGAAAAACGGTTGTACACGCAAAAATCAGGTCCAGGTGAAAGCCAAAAGTCCAAGCGGACGATTACCTGACCTTCCACTGGAATTCACAGCCGGTCTTCGATGAAAAAAAAAAAAAGAAATATATATATATATGGACTGTAGGCTCAGATGCCGTTGGTAAAGAAACTTCATTATGCAAATTAAGTTATTAGACAAGAAATGTACCTCCAACAAATCAATCATCCTCGTCATCTGTGAATAGATAAGGACACGATGGTCGTCATCTTTCAATCTCTGAAGCAGTGAATCTAATACGTATAACTTTCCGGCATCGCTCACCAAAGATTCTTTGTCTGCGAATAACAGATTTCAACGTATTGAATAATTAGGTTTCTTTAACAAGTTATTTCGAGTTATTCTTGAAATAAAATTATAATAATAAAAAAAACATTAGTATTGGGGTGGAATCGTGGGAACAAAATGTTTAAGAGTGTGTTGTGTGGAGGGAGCACATGAGGAAGGAAATGCTTTTCTCAACACAGGCGGGTCTTGCTAGTCACACTCGCCATTGCCATAGACTGTGAGTCCCAAGCCTCCTCATAGCGCGCAATATCAAACTATCGCCTAGAAAGACGGAAAGGTACCAATCATAGAGAATAAAGAAGAAATGTGGCAAAGAATATGTCGATTATGTTACCATTTGTCAATACATTTCAGCTCCACATAATATTCCACTAATCAATAATAATATTCCACATTATATTCTACTAATCAACTGACTTTGTATGATTCACTTCCATTCTTTTTCTTTTTCTTTTTTTTCATGTTCACCAGCTGCAAACTTCAGCGGAAGTTTTGGACCTTCGTGCGCCGCCAGACTTAAGTCTTGTTTCAGAATCTGAGTGTTACATGCACATCCATTTCACATTCTCTTATCTGTATGCAGACTCTTGGCTCCTTGTCTCTCAGGCAGATGTACTCCGACTTCAAAGAAACTTCTATTTATCTCCTTGTGTGGTTTGCGCCCCCCCCTCCCCCTCCCCCTCCCCCCACACCACTTTTTTTAGGGAGGCTGGGGGGGGGGGGGGGGGGGGGAGACCGACACACTGCCTAACAAACATGTCATAAAAGTCGGCTAATTAGGTGTGTTTCCAACAAAGTCGGGGTGCATCTGCCTGAGAAGCAAGAAACTAAAAATCTGCATTAAAATAAGGCAGATCTGTAAAAGAGATGAGCACGCAAAACTTCAGTTTATAACAAAACCAAAGTCCAGACGTGAAGTTTACAGCCAGTGAACATGAGCAAGAAGAAGGGAAAAAAAGGACTTTCATTATCAGGGCTGACTCTATATAGCTAAGCTGTTAAAAACTCTCTCAATTCTGATGCCAACTGCGGTGCTTTTTTAATATCCTACCCCAAACAGGGAAAATCCACAGGTTACGGGACAGTCTAATATTTTAGGGGGTGGTAGATAGGCTGCTTGCAGTCGTTGGACCTAGGCTGCATTCTCTCGTGAGATGTAGGTGGGCTGGCGTTAGCGCCAGTTCTAGATGTTTTGAGGCCGTTAAAAGCATCAGAAAGCCGGGGGAAAGCTGGGAAACCGAGTCTTACCACCCTCTAAAATGTTGGACTGTCCTGTGACGTCATCTGGGGTAGGATATTAATAAAGCACCGCCAACTGCTCTTTTAATGGCAAAGAAATAATAAGAATAGGTGTGGAGTTTTCTGTCCATTTTTGCTTCTAGGAAGAAAACTGTTCTTGACAACATGTGTCAACTGCTGACTGACCTGGAATTTGTATGTGCATCCAGCCATAATGCGGCATTATGGCAGAAAGACCAGCTCTCTCGCTGGGTAAGAAGGTGTTGGAAGGTGAGCAAGCCAGTTCAGGAGTACCATAAAACAGTGACTGCTTGGCTTCCAGAGTCCCACACTGCTCTCGTCGCATTTTGTCCCACGCCGCACTCCGGTCAACTGTGTACTCACTGAGGCCTGGGCAGGTGACCTATCATCAGAAAATCAAAGACTCAATTTTTTGACCCGTAACATTTATTTAACAAGCATCAGTGTTCAAAGCTATATATAATAAAATCAAGATAAACTAGTTCTTGAGAACTTTGTTCCTGAAAATGTACTGCATATTAAAGTGTCATTCAATCAGGGGTTCACCTTTAAATAGGTGGTTGGCGGTTTACATTAGGCTGCCATATCAGCACCTTTCGACACATTCTATTTCAGTAAAATTAGTTAGTTGCCTTTAAAAACATGCTTATTAGGGAGTGTGGATCTATCTTTTTTCTTCTTTCCAAAATAGGGCCTCAGAACCCATACAGTGTTGTCATTCCTGACATCTCAGACACAATACAGTTTCTCTAAATCAAAGTCATGAATTTATAAACATTTAACACATTCACACTAATCTTTAGCATCAGCTGCTTCTTCTTCAAGTTCCCGGCTGTATGCTCCAGGTGAATGTTCTGGTTGTTCATCCTCTGGACTTTAGTCTTGTTCCAGAACCTAAATCTGTTGTGCGCATCCATTTTACGGATCTGACTTATATGTATGCAGATTGCTGGTTCCTTGCCTCTCAGGCAGACGCATTTGAAGAAAGTCCCCAATTAGTCAACTCTTACGACAACTATTGTTGTTTTTATGAATATTCTTGTTTTTTCCACAATGGGGCACCAGAACCCTCATGGAGACAGCATCCACTTTATTTGTACATTCGTTCTTTGATGGACCCCAAAAGAAACCAATTGATGTATGGTCTGTTAAACTGGGTTATCTAGTTTGACTTGTTACAACAAACATTTCGGATTCACTGTTTTATCTTTCAGAGCTCACTGCTGCAGTTTGACTGGTTGTATCTTACTGCACTCCTCAACCTACTATATCAGCAAATGTATTTCATGAGTGACATCACATGTCATTGCTTAACAGATAATGTAGTACTTACTCCCCATGTTTCAAGACAAATCTACAAGTGACACATAACACTGAGTCTAATCTGTGTACTGACTTAACATATGGAGATATAAAATTTAAACTAGGATGCAATCATTCACATAATTCATTAAAGACAAATGGAGGAAATGATTTGGCCATCTAACTACAATGCTCTGGTACCAATTAATACACAAAGTTTCACAGCAGGAAAAAACGGAGCAATGAGCAAGGGTACTGATATGCAAACAATGGGATGAGATAACAGCTTCAAGCTAACCTTAGAAATATTAGGAATAACTAGGTAGCTTCATTACAATGAACACGGAGACGATCCTTGCATCTCCTTATACTTTGCTGACCAAACTGAAGGAAAATGAGGAGGAAGAGGAGAAAGGAACTAAACAGACAGACACCACAGACTAAATTCAGGAGTAATGCACCAAATTATATGAAGTCTGTGCATTTATATTCAACAAGCGTGTCTTGTGCATTCCCTTCAACATATCTTCCCAGTGGTCACAACATGTTCTATTTTCCCTCTTCTCATAACATGGCCGAAAAATGATGACTGTCTCCTTCTGATGTCTGTGATAAGTTGTATTCGGGCTCCCGCCTCTTTCAAAACCTCTTGGTTGCTCTTTTTGGCTGTCCAAGGTATTCTAAGCATTCTTCTGTAAAACCACATCTCCGAGGCCTCCAGAAAATTGTTTGGCCTGCCTACAGATTGTCCAGGATTCACAGCCATATGTTAAAACTGGATGTATGTAGCAAGCAAGAATTCTTTTTCTAACTCTCAATGACAAGGATATATATACACAAGATGTTTTTCATTTTATAAAATGCAGTTTTTGCCTGTCCTATTCTATTTCTTATCTCAGTTATGCATCTTCCATCTGATGTTATCCATGTGCCCAGATACTTAAATTTCTGTACTTGTCCTAAAATAACACCATCAACTTTTATTACACACTTAGGAATAATTTGTTTCTTTGATACCACCATTACTTCTGTCTTCCCATTATTCAAACTGAGGCCCATTCTTCGACTTGTGACACAATCGTCTCTTGTGCTGCCTATGCTTCATCAAATAACCAACCCAGGCTCTGCATGATTTTGTGTCAAGGGTGGCGGGTGATTGTTGATAGACGAGGAGAAAGATGGTCGTGTCGTAAGTGTTAAAGAGGATGTTGTGTTGCTTGCTGCATGCCTCTCACGTGCCTTAGGTGTTTGAACAATAAAGTGTCTGGAAACAACTGTTCTCTTCCTTTAAATCTTCTCCTTTAATATAACGTCACACAATTCATTATTACACTCCAAGAATTGTCATAAAATGCATCAATTAATACTCTGACGAATACTAAATCATCTAAGTACTCATAGAATCGTGTTATGTTCTTTATCTATCATCACTTTGTAAATTAGTACTAGTTTCTCTAACTGCCACCGGGCTACTAGTGCAGGTTGGACTAAAAGGTTTGTTAACTAATACCGTCTATCTACTTATCTATGCTCTCTTCCCTGCTTAATTGGCCGGTACTTGTCTCTTGTTCTCCTCACTCCGTCTCTAGCCTGTCCTCTCATCTGTCCTTTGCTGTCTTCTGCTGTCCTCTTTCTTCTGCCTCAGTCTATCTCCGTTTGCGTCTTGTCTCTTCTCTATCTGTGTCTATCCTCTGTCTGTCGGTGTGAGACTGTGCCTTCTGTCCCTCCTCTGGCCTGTCCATCTCCTGTCTGTGTGCGAGTCTGTCTGTCTTGGCTGTCTCTGCGTCTCTGTGTGTCTGCACTCTCGAAGGTTACGGGCAATCGTTTATAAAGGGGTTACTAACTGCTCCCAGGGGGCTCCTATCCCTCCTTGTTTTGCAGTCTACTGCAATCACCTGAGCTGGCCGGGACATCGGTATTTGATTAATTAGTTTGGAGCTTGGACGGGGAGAGTCACATGTCTGGTCGTACAATTCAAGTACGTGGGAAAAGTTCCAACAATAAGGGTGAAAGCCACAAGGGTCTTACCGTGCAAACAGCACAATACTAATAAAGAGAGGGGGGGGTAGGGGTGCCAACCCTGCTACACACTTTCTAACACCACAATGTCTATCATTTCCTGTAGTTCTTTCTAACTTGTTGCTATCAAGACTGTGTCATCAGCATAACGTAAATTGTTTATATTGTGCCCACCAACCACAATTCCGGGCATACCAATTAAAGCTCTCATTATATATTCACTGTACATTGAAAACAAATCAGGTGACAGTACACATCCTTGTCGTACGCCCTTCTTTATGCTTTGAAATGTACCTAAACAGTTGTTAATTCTTATAGCTGCTGTTTGCTGCCAATACATATTCTTTATTATTCGTAGATCTTTCCTATCAATGTTTAATTTTTCTAACAGTCTGATTACTTCTTCATGCTTCACACAGTCAAATGCTTTTGTATAGTCTATGAAGCATATGAATTTCTCCCTATGCATTCATATTTAGTAAACATTTCTTTCTGTGCTTTCATAATCAACAGGCATGTCTTCCTGTGCATTCATATTCAAAAAGCATTTCTCCCTGTGCACAACTGTACTGTTTTAAAGACAAAAACATGGGATTACAAATATAAATTACTCTATGTTCATTATATAAATATTGCTTAAGAGATTTAAACAGTGGTAACTAACATATCTTAGACGAAAGCCAAACTATTACCTACCTTAGGGATAAGAACAAAGAAGAACGATGGCAAGAAGTTTTTCTGGCATTTAAGTACACGTGATGACCTGAATTTGTGAGGATGAAGGGGCAGGCTGACTTCCTCTGTTGAAGGACTTTTCACTGGTGGCTGAATGAGATGTTTTAATTACAATTAAAATATTCTATCATACAGTAGTTTTTCACTGGCAGAAGTATTTTACATTAGACTCTTAACATACATACAATTTGTTATTAGACTATGGGGCTAAGAACTGACATAATTCAGGACATTCCTAAAAGTGCTCCGTCCTCCTCTTCAACAGCCAGCAAAGAGTTCCGATTCTGATGTGCTAATAACACCATCAGCAGTTTGATTATATGTCCGTCTTGCCATTCCTCTGAGTGCGGAGTGTCGCGACCAGATCACCGCTGTCACTCCTAGCTATACCATTCTCTCCAGACTATTTTGATCTACTTGTGTTACATGAACATCACAGCACTCAGGACATGCCCATAAGCGCTCCGTCCTATCTTCAGCAGCAAACGAAGAGTTGCAATTCTAATGGCACTAGTAACTGTCTGAATGTATATCTGTCTCGCCCTTCCCCTGAGTGTCTGCCAGATCCCATGGTAACTCATAATGATCTATCTGTGCCTCCGCTCTATACGGTATACACTGAGTATACAGTGCTAGCCCTACACTGTTAGATCCAATGGATGGTGCAGTCAACCTTATGACTTTACTTTCCAAAGTACTTTCTTGTACTCCTATTAAACTAAGTCAACATAGGAGTCCAAGTATTTTTTTAACAAATTGCTGCCTCACGGATATTTTAAATACAGGGTTGCCTTGACTTATACAACCAAGTCACACAGGGACTAACAAGTCATAAGTCAAACTAGTAAATTTTTTATTTTTTATTTTTCACACTATTTTAATTCAAACGGTTTATTCAAATTGTATATTAAACACAAAAATGTCAATAGAACACAGAAATTCAATCTATGTACATCTAATTATTGTAATTCTATCTATTGTCTGTCTCTGCTTAGTGCTGTAAGGCATCACAGGCATAGCAAATTATCGGTTTCCAGGATAGTGTGCAATCGTTAGCTTGCTGCATGGTGATACTGTTGAGCTTCAGCAAGTTAGCTCCATCTATCCATCTTAGTCTTGGCCTTCCTCTGCATCTTGATGTTTCCATTCTCATATTGTATCCCCTTGCAACCGGTGGCACTGGGTTCATTTTGATCAGGTGACCAAACCAATTCAATCTTTGTTTTTCAATAAATCTAATTACAAGTATTTATCCCACAATTCTAATGATATCTTGGTTTCTTTTATGGTCTCTTCGTGTTGTGCTGACTGCTTTTCTTATACACCTTGTTTCACACGTCGTTAGTTTCTGCTCGTTTTTTGTTTTGTTTTGTTAATGCCCGGGTTTAGCAGTGGTAATAGAATGTTAGTAAAAAGATTGTTTTTATGATTTATCTTTTAGTTTTCACTACAGTGTTTCTAATCTCATCCTGATCTTCTGGTACCTTGCTGTGTCAAGGTGAAGTATAATTTACTGGAAAGAGCCAGTTTGTGAATTTCGTAAATTCGGATTCCCAGGGGCTCGTAAACCCCTATGTGGGTATTTCTGAGTGTGTACGACTGTATTTATATGATGTGTGCATGCACTACTTCATTATATTTCTGGATATTTCTATGAGACATAACAGGCATTATTTATAACATGCAATGGTGGTCTGAAGATGAGTGCTTGGAAGGGTCAAATGTAAGACGGGCCTGTGAGCCCAATTAAAAAAAATGTAACCCTTTGAATATAAAATCTGTTTGTTCGTTCATTCATTCTGTCCATCGCTTGCATGGTCAGCCTCTTCTTCGCTTCCCATCGCTAATGACTGTATATTATTACTCAAGTCAGCTCTACTTGAACTTCCACAATTACAAACTCCATGACAGCAACAAATCTTCTTTTGTATTCATCCTTAAAAGGGTGCTCGGCACACTGTTTTGTGGTTCACAGCTAGGCTGCAATATCTGCACCCTGTGGTCTAACACATCCCATTTCAGCAGCCTCTAATTAGTTATCCTTTATAATGTGAATGCTGGAAAGTAATGGGTCTATCTACTCTCCCCCCCCCCCCCCCCCCCAAAGGCAAAAGAAAACAAGATGGGAAACACTATATATAAAGACATTAAATTGCATTAAAATGCAAAGGGAGAAGAAAAGATGAGCCTAGCCACCAAGATAAATAAGTAAAGATGAAAACACAACAAATAGGTAAGCTCACTTTAGTTGGTGAATTGGGTGGGCTGAGTGGACTCTTCTTTGCTGCTGCCAGTTGCTTGAGCCTCCGCAGGCGAATCTGTCGATGGGAGAACGTCTCTGGGATGTGGTGCATGATGACGTTTTCATGGGAAATGAACTGTGAGGTGTAACTGGTGAACACAAGATCCTTTAAGACTGGACTCAGGCAGATGCTTGGTGCACTGATGCTCTTCAAGGGCTCCAGCAATAAGCATGTCTTTGTATTGAAACTGAATTGAAAGACGCACTTGTATTACTCTTCCATGTAAGCAATTTTTTTTTTAAAGAAGAAGAAGAAACCTGTAAATGCATGTATTTTATGTGAATATTCATACCTACGTCCTTATAGATATGCATGTGTGCAGACATATGTTCATTAGTCTGCAGATAACCTGGAGAACTTATAAAGTTACTTCTCTGGCACATCCTATATTGAGTTGCTTCACTAATTTAAGTAGTGACTGGCCGCATGAATGCACCTTTATGTGTTCCTAACACAGAAGCATGCTCTTTATAGTGCATACATTTTATGCTCTTTATATGAAATCTGGGCTGAAGAAAACAACTGAAATGCAGATAAAGATCTGTTAACAGCTATAATAAAGACACATTGTAAAACTATTAAACCAAAGAAGGAACATTTCTGGCTATACAGCAAACATACTGCTCTTGTTTGCCTTTATGTCCATCCACAAGGTGTACCACTAGTTAACAATAAGTATGAAACAAGGATAGCAACCGTTTACATGCTAAGCCCTTATTTTTTAGATGGACTGGTACTTGATAGGAGATATGATTATTATGCTGGCCATCTTTACTTCCTAAGAAATGTAAACGCGTCAGTTTTAGGATGTGCACATCTGAAAACCAAGGTCAGTGAAGAAAGATTTCCGACTCAAAGGGAATTTTAACACATGGCAAACAGGCTGGTAGGCAAGCATGCTGGTCAATGCACTACTTGGGACTACCACAAATGAGTAGTTTTTTTTTTTGTTGTGTGTGACCATTTTTTAGATGTAGTCAAAATGATAATGAGCTACCTTTCCTTCTTTTTGCTTTTCTTCTGCCCTTATTCCCCAATGGAGCATAGAAAACTAACTCAAACCAAGTCATCGTATCCTTTACTACTGCATGCAGCTAACCCTATCTTCCTAACTTCATTCTCTAGCTTTTTTTTTAAATAATCTATCTTTGTTTCTATGCTCCTGTTTGTTCCAGGCAAAGACATTCTAGTTATACTGTTCTCGTGTTTTTGTGTGTGTTCTATCCAACACCAACCAGTGTCTCTTCTTCACCTCTTTTTTTTTTTTTTTTCATCGAACACCGGCTGTTAATTCCGGTGGAAGGTCCCGGTTAATCGTCCACTTGGACTTTTGGCTTTCACCTGGACCTGATTTTTGCGTGTACAACCGTTTTTCATTTCCCTGCCTCTTGGGCAGCTGTACGCCGACTTCGAAGGAAGACGTCAGGCCTATTTCTAGGGTGACTGTGGCCATTGTTTTGTGTGGGTCGAGACGTTGCCTGATTTGTGTGGTGTCCATTTTGTCGCCTTCGCCGCAGGTATTGCCCCCGGAGTACCCCTTTGGGGTAGCCCCCTGTGGAACAGTTGGCCCTCAAGGGAAGGCAGGGGCAGATCATGGGCATTCCCCGCCATCCAAGGAGGCTTCCATGCATGCAGAGCCGGCACATATCGCTCTGTTTCTGGGCTCACCCAAGGAATCGTCACGTCCTGCACATGCCTGCTTAACCTCACAACCGTATCAGGCCTCCCGCTCGACAGGGGTTGCGCCCTCTGGAAGTCTGCGGGGAGCAGCCTTTGGGTTTTGGACTTTTATGACCACACAGATAGGTACGTTAGCCCGACAGAATTTCACATCCTGAATCAGGCATATCGTTGTCAGTTTTTCCCAACACTCGGGCAAGTGAGGTCTTTGGGTGTGTGTATTCGGTCTCTTTCAGTTCAGTGCAAATTTTGATGGTCAGATTTTGATCCGTATGATCTAGTTTTGTCGGACATTTAGGCTTAGCCATCTGATGGATGGTTGCTGTTGTGGTGTACCCCAGCGCGGTGACGACGACACTGAGGGTTTAACCGAGGATGTACGTGAGTGGCCAGCCTATGGATGGTTTTGTCGTGGTGCACCTCAGCGCGGTGACGACGACACTGAGGGCCAACCAGGGATGCACAAGGATGGCCAGCCCATGGATGGTTGCTGTTGTGTTGCCCCTCAGCGCGGTGACGACGACACTGAGAATTAACAGAGGATGTGCAGTGAGCAATGTTCTCTTACTTCACCAAGAGTCTTGATTCATTGGAATTTGTCTAGTTATCTTCAGCTCTGTTAATTTGAGCTCCCACGACGAACCATGAAAAAAAAGGACTGTCAAAAACTTAACAGAAACAAATAATGATCTACTATGCCCCATTATGGTGCTGACACCATGGCAAACATAATGCAACCTGGGCACAAACTATACTACAGGGCTTAGTCATCTTAAGAGAAAATTAGAATACACAGGTCAACAAAGTCCTTGAACAAAATCTGGCACACTGGACAGGCCTAAAAAATGATCCGATTGCCAGAAGAGAGGTCTGATCAGTCAACCAAAACTTGTTGGTCCAATGTTATGGCACTATAAGCAGACACAAATATGTTCAGAAATTTTAAATTTAAGTTGCAATTACACCGACATCCTAAGCTTCAGGAGAGGGTTGAGCCAATGTGGGTTTGAAGGCCAGAGTGTACAGAAAAACAAAAATATCAGACTCACTAACAAATAAAAATAAAAAGTTCTGGAACAAAAGTGAAGAAGTGGGCCAACAACCAGAACTTCAGCTGGAGTTTACAGCCGGTGAGCGTGAAGAAGCAGAAGGAAAAAAAGAATGAAAAAAACAAAACAAATCTGTGCTTACCTGGTATCTTCATGCCACATGAAATGCTGGTGTATTCTGTAAGCAGCCTTCATCATGAGAAAAACACCTAACCACCTGTGTACAGTTGAACATTTTTTTTAAAATGGTGTTTGTATGTGTAAAGGTTAAGTCAGGAGATGTGAACCAGCGTGACTGCACATGGTTAGAAACCATAAGTGCTCTGCCACCAGTGCGCACAGCTGATAAGAAACTGTCTGCCACAAGTAAGCACAGCTGATAAGGAACTGTCTGCCACTAGTACGCACAGCTGTTAAGAAACTGTCTGCCTGTGACGCCGTCCGCACGCAACAGCGATGTTCCTCCATTTACCCCATATTGTTTAACTCTGGTACCCATCACTTAGACGCTTGGTGAGCCCCAGGAACCAATTTCTGGTGTCTTAAGAGGTCATTTAAAACCTCTTAGATAAAGAGGTTCAATAATTTTGCTTATATCATTATTCAGTAACCTTTGACAAACCTAACAGTAAAGTAAAAGTTGAGGACTCTTTTCCCAGCCTGTTGGTGTACTGGTTATATAATGCTAGAACTATTATTTTATAGATCAATCAGATATCTTTGGGTGATTTGGTCAGCATGACGCCAGTCGCCTTTACTTCCCAGGATTTCATCTGGTACCCATTTTATGCTGGGTCAACGTGGGAGTCAAGCTCATTTGGTGACTATGTGGATTCTGAATTACAACCTTCGAGTCCATATCAGAGTCTAGTCGTGCGCCACAGTCGTGCTTCCTTGACAAACCAAAACATTCAACAATAATTACGCACACATAACTGAATCATTACTACACCAATGATAGCTTTACAAGTCATGCACTGCTGACAATAAATATACTTATCTACTAACCATAAACAATAACATATAAACATTACTAAACTAATGCTGACACACAAAATCACTGATACCAAAATGTATATAATCTGTTTTTGTTGCTGTTTGCGTTCACTGGCTGTAAACCCTAGCAAAAAGACCTGGTTATTCATCCATTTCTAGACTTTGGCTTTGTTCCAGAAGCTGTTTTGCAGATTTTGCTTATTTATAAGCAGACTGTTGGTTCCTTGCCTCTCAGGCAGATGCACTCTTTGAAAGAAACCCCCCAGTTGGTCGACTCTTATGACATGCTTGTTGTGGAGGCGGTGGGTCCATTCTTGTTTTCCCCACAATGGGACCCCGGAACCCACACGGGGATATATGATTTATTCTAATGATTTATTAATAAATAAACATGAATCCATGTCCAGAGTTAAATAATTCAAACGAGTGCTGCCTCCACAATCAAAGTTGGTTGCAATGACTGTTTCTCATCCTAGTTCTACACACTTTAAGACTGCTATTCATCCACCATCCGTCTTCATCTTCATTTTATACTTCTTCTTTGTGATATCATGGCTGTTAACTCCGGTGGGAAATTCTGGTTGAAATCACATCAATGAAAACACACACACCTCCCGATGCCACAGTCAACCCAAAATGAAATACAAGGATACTGTCTTACCTGACTAACAGTCCTCCATACATGAATGAATGAAGTTCTTGTGGCGACATATTTATGAGACGGGTGAAAGAGAAACAACTATTTACAAAGGCAGGTGAACCTAGAGGAAAAGCAAAAATTCAAAGAAAATTATGATAATGAACAAATGCTACTTTCTGTGTGGTGTTGTGAATAATAACATATGTCAGTGATTCCCAAACTGTGCCGCACCGAAATATTTGAAGATACAAGAGTTTTTTTTTTTTTTTTTATCTCCTACATACGAACATAGTCATACTTTTACTAAGGATAGGGCGCCGTGGAAAAATTTTAATTGAAAAAAGGTGCTGCGACTAAGAAACGTTTGGGAAACGCTGACATATTTTAATGACAGCTGAAATGAATAATAGGAATGTGTACAACGAAGAGAATCTGAGATGATGAAATCTGATGGTTACTGTATTCCATCCCCATGTGGGTTCTGGGGCCCTATTATAGGGAAAACAAGAACAGACCCACTGACTAATTGGGAGCTTCCTTCAAAATCGGGAGTGCATTTGCCTGAGAGGCAAGGAACCAGCAGTCTGCATACAAATGAGTCAGATCTGTAAAATGGATGCACACGCAACACTCGGGTTCTGGAACGGGACTGCAGTCCAGAAGTGGACGAACAACCAGAACTTTTTGTTAGAGTTTACACCTGGTGAACGCAAAGAAGAAGACTACTCCTTGTCTAAAAAAATATTTTCCTGGGACAGTCTAATTTACTGGGGTGAATTTCTTTTTCCAGCCATAACATAATCATCAAGAAGAGAAATGTCAGAACAAGTAACAAATAAAGACATACATATCAGTACAGCATAGAAATAAGAAAGTGGAAAAGTCCAAATAAAGTGTATTTGCACACACTGGTATTTTTCACATTCTTTCCTTAACATCACTTACCTTTCATGTATTATGTCATTTTCATATTATTTATTAAGTAGCAAGGATTGGTATGTACAGGTGCCACCTAAAAAAAAATGGGAAAACGCTTGCGCACAACTCAGTCAAGACAACCGTACCTACATGTGGTGCTACCTGTTGCAATAGACAGGGCTTCAACGCATAGCGCGAGTCTCTATCGCTAACAAAGTGGACCCCCCCAATGCCTGAAGGGGTAAAATACCAGGATGACCCAGTACCTGACAAAAGCTACCTAATCTCTGTGACTTTAACAGTCATTCAACTAGTTGGGGCTATGCTTCTATAAACACAAGAGGAGAGGAAGTAGAGGAATGGATGGCATTTTTTCTTCTTTTTTTAATAACATAACCAGTAGATTCCATGAACTTAAAAATATCTGTATATAAATACTAAGACACCACTGCAAATAGAAGGGGAAAAAAACTTACTTGAACAATTTGAAAATAAAGATTGGTGAATATTCTCTGGTGAAAATATATACAGTTTGTTGAAAACAATGTGGTGAAGACTTGGCAAGGATGATTCCAAGTATCCTGTGAAAGAATTCAATTTGTTAAGATAGAAAAGTCACAGTTAACAAATTTTGGGTCAATGTCTAAGCTATCAACTTGAATGAGAGAACGTTCAAATGTTTCGTACTTCAGTGGAAAGGAGAAATATACCTGGAAATTGACCCGTGAACTCTGGTCTCTCGATGCATTTTCACTTTCAAGCTGAAGCGCTTCTACATCTTTTCACCATCCCAATGCTCTGCTTGTAGAACATGCCACTTGAGAGCCAAAGGCTTTTCTACATTGTGGTTTCAGGTCACTGCATCTATAGGGGTCGTCAGATTCTTGCTAGTTTTGTTTATGTCGTTTACAGTCATTGTTTGCGTACAACATAGATATTTGGCAGAAGTCTTGAGCTCCAATGAAACTATCACAGAGCTGTGTACCAGATGAGGTATAGGGTATCCCTGTATACCCAGCAGTATAAGTATAACGTTTTACTCATGCCTACTGCTTATCTTTCTTTTTCTTCTACGCTTGCCATTACAAGTTTGGTTGGTATAATGAGCTCTTCTTCTTCTATAGCATTTAAAATAAATTTTTTTAAACAAAAATACTTTTTCCAACTTTGGTTTAAAACACTATATCCTTATAATTTCCTGCAAATAACTCAGACCTGTGAAACGGATGTACAGGCAACACTCAGTTTCTGGAACAGGCCTAGAGCCCAGCAGTGGACGAACAACCAGAACTTTTCTGCCGGAGTTTACAGCCAGCAAACACAAACAAGAACAAGAAGAAGATAATTTCCTGAAACCCTAAGAACTACAGAAAAAGCAGCAGCAGCAAAAGAAATTTTGAGTTTTGGACAGTTTTTATTAAAAAAGAATCCTATGACCATAAAGCAAACAGGCAAATGTTAAGGTCGCTACTTCATCGCAAAGGTCAAAATGCTAAAACATTTTGATATTCTACTTAGTCACTATCAGTCCTTTTTACTCTAAGGAAAGTAATCGCTAAATACAAATGGGGTAAAGAATTAACTGCCTTCTCTCCGTCTGACCATGAAAAACGTGTATTTCTTTAGACATAGTCATGCAGAGCAAACAATTATGTCACAGAGACCAAAAGAGTGGTTTTAAACCAGAAATAACATCTCAGTTTTTTCCCCAGTAAATATAATTATACCGCTTTCATCTAAACACACTCCCCCCCCCCCTTTTTTCGTCACATGTGGCCACAGAACCCACAGTAGGAATGCCAGCGACTGAAATCACAACCTGTGTGAATATTAATTTTTATTTACGGTTAATTGGTTACAATATGCATCATAATATATTTATTAAAATACAACAGTCAAAGTAGCACTATAAAAATGCTATCATTATTACGACATTACTGTCCTTTTTTTTTTAACCCTTCAGCTGTGTGTGTGTGTGTGTGAGGGGGGGGGGGGGGGGGGGGAGAGCCTGACAGTTTAGGGCCACATGGCTAGCACTGTCATCACTGACTGTGTAGGTAAGGATTTTATTTTTGCCCCCAACAGAACAATTCCCAACATTAATCAGCTACATAAACATTACCGTCTCTGTAGATGAGCTTGGGTACAATATAAGGATGAACAGGCAGATGAAGCGGGGATTTGGGCTCGTTTCTTTCAAACAGCTCAGGATGATTGCACACCTGTTGATTGAAGAGATTGAACAGAGAAATGAACAAGTCAATGGAATGTTCACTGTAAATATGTAGAAAAACAGGCCAACCACAGCTCAATTATTATTATCCTTTTATTCTGCCTTTTATCTTCATATCTAGCACAGGCAACGACCTAGCGCCATGACTTTTGCAATCTTGTTTTTGGCTGACTGGAAGTTTCTAGCCAGTCACACACCAACTGGGCACTTTCCCGTAAATTATAGTTACCTCGACATCGCAAGGTACAAGAGTATCAAGATGAGATGATAATGATGAGATATGAGACATTTTTTAGAGCCACGTAAGACAGACTTTAAATATCAAAGTACTGCCATGAGACTCCGTTTCCTCACCTTGCGGAACTGCATGACTATGTTCATAAGGCTGCTAGTGGTGGACAGGGCAGAAGATGTGGATGATGTGCTGGAGCAAAGCAAATCTTCTATTGAGATTTTGTTCTTGATGGCTCTGTATAACATTTTTTGGCGAGTTGTCAGAGGGCAGTACACCAGGATTTCAATCTGAAATATACAGAAATATTCAGAAATAAATGGTAGTATTATAAGGGAACAAAAAAAAATACATGAGCATTCAAACAAGCAAAACAGTTCAATCATTTAATAATTAAAAACATAAAGCAATGGAGATGTTTTTTAAATTTTAAAACAACATATTAATCAATATATTATTCTTCTTTCTTCTTCGATTTCACCAGCTGTGAGCTCCGGCGGAAAGTTCTGGTTGTTTGTCCACTTCTGGACTGCAGTCCTGTTCCAGACTCTGAGTGTTGCGTGTGCATCCGTTACACAGATCTGACTCATTTGTATGCAGACTGCTGGTTCCTTGCCTCTAAGGCAGATGCACTCCGACTTCGAAGGAAGCTTCCAATTAGTCGACTCTTATGACATGCTTTTGGGTAGGCAGTGGGTCTATTCTTGTTTTCCTAACAATAGTGCCCCGGAACCCAAAAATAATGGGCTGTTTGGGTGGACTGATTGGGTCTTCAGGGTTATCATGGATGGAAGGTGTTCCAGAGGGCTCTAATAGCTGCCTTAATGCGAGTTTCATTTTCCATTTCTCTCTGAATAGCAGATGCTCCATACTACTAGCAAACTAAGTATTTTGTTACATTTTGTTAATCAAGTTGGATATTTCAGAATGACAAAGCGAGTGCAGGATGCCTTAGCTGGACCCTGACTTAATGGGAAAGACTGCTTTAAATCAGATATATGATATATTTAAAATTTACAACAGCTTCAGATTTACCAATTCCAAAGAACATCAAAGAATCAAATGATTTGGTCATCTAGTCAGAATGGAATAGAATTAGCCATCAGCTGGAACGTACTACATGAGAACAGGAGGCTACAAGGCAAAAGGTTGACCAAGAAAGAGACAGGTAGGTGGAAGGAGTATAAACTACACCACTGAAATGTAAAAAGACATTAACACAAGCTATGCAACTAGCAAAAGACAGAAAACTACACATCCCCCCCCCACCAACTTCTCACTGAGACACTTTACGGCATAAGCAATAGGACCAACAAAAAAGGAATATAAACTTCGCTGTAGCCAGCACACGATGACTTTCCAAACTCGCCTTCTTTTTCCTTGCCTTCAGCCTGTCGGTGCACGCAACTTTATTGAGTCAACTGAATTGAAATAGTGAACCCAAGTTGAGAGATTAATAAGAGAGCGCTAGTTACCTTGTCTGAAAGTTCATTTTCCACATCCCGTTTCACCCTTCTAAGCATGAAAGGTTTCAGGATCATGTGGAGTCGTGACAGCTGATCTACAATAGACAACACAATCAATATGTCACTCGACTGACAAAGCAAACAAATAAAGAGTGTTTCCCATAAAAAAAAGCACATTCTTTTTTAGAAATTTCTACATTACAGATATATTCAATACTCAATGCTCTCAAATCAAAATTCTGCTGGAAATTTAAAAATGGGGGTGTGGGTGTGTGAAAAGAAAATCTTTCAGAAAACTGTAAATCAATCATTGCCCCCCCCCCCCCCCCCTCTCTCTCTCTATCTCTATCTCTCTATCTATCTGGTGTGCATGTGCCAACCTATACAAAGAAAAAAGTGGGGACTGGGAATATAAAAAAACACTGGATCACAAAAAGAATCAGAACTGATCTGACAAACAAATCAGGGTAGTTCTGTGACCAAAAAAAAGGAACAAATTAAAAAAGGCAAGAACAGAAAACTAGGAAGATAATAAATTCAATGTAAAATCTACCACAAAAACATTCATTCCCTGTCCTGTAGTACCGTCATATGTCACTGAAGGCTCGCTGTCTGTTTCTCCATTCTTCTCTAGCCTGTGCAATCAGTTCAATATCACGGATAGAATCCAGTCCATCACCTTAGATTCTCTCATCAATGTTCACCTTGGGGTTTCTCTTGGACATCCTTACCTCTATTTCCCATTTCTGTGCCTGTTTGGTGATTCTGTGCCTGTTTGGTGATTCTCTGCCGTCTACTCTCAGAACATGTCCAAAATGACTGTCTATACTAACGGCTGTCCAGACATTTCTCTCACTTCTTCACTTTTCTTGAATCCCCCCCCCCCCCCCCCCCCACCCCCCCCCCCCCATGTTCATCATTTTCCCCAGTCATCTGTACTACAAAAATACTGTAGAGAAGACAAATAATTACAGACAATCGCATACATGATATCCACTTGTACAATAATTTCAACCAATCACTCCACTAAGAACAAACATGGATGGCATGGCAATGTGCGTGTCTCAACTCACTCTCATCAATTCCTGACTGTTTTTCTACGTGGCTCTCTATGTCTTTGGAGAACCACTCATTAAACTCATCATGGGAGTCGAACAACGTTGGCATTATGAAGTGCAGTAACGCCCACAACTGTAGAGCAGCAAAATGTGTACAATTATAAATCAATTATTTATAAAATGTAAATTCATAAAAGACAAGGAAGGGGCTCTGCTTACTTCTACAAATGATATCATGGGCAGATGGAAAGAATACTTCTCAGAGCTCCTCGGCGTTGAGGGAAGTCATGACCCAGAAATAATGGACCTCACTGCTGAGAAGGAATTCAATCATGGGGAAGATAACATCAGGATGGAAGAATTGAAGGCAGCTATTGAGAAGATTAAGCTGGAAAAAGCAGCAGGTCATGATGGTTTAACACTAGAGATGGTCAAATATATGGGAGTCGAAGGTGAGCGCCTTCTACTGAAGGTTCTCCAGGCAGCCTGGTGTAGCAAAACTATACCAAAAGATTGGGAGATTGCCATCATTATACCTATATTTAAAAAAGGTGATAACAGACAATGTGAAAACCACAGAGGCATATCCCTCCTCAGCGTTCCCGGTAAAAGTTACTCTAGAATTCTTGAGCAGAGACTTAGAAGTCTGGTCGAGCCACAGCTGGACGAGGCCCAATGCGGCTTCAGAGCAAACCGAAGTACTCAAGACCTTATCTTCACACTGAGACAGATGAGTGAAAAGGCCCTGGAATATAAGAGTGAGATGCACTTATGTTTTTTGGATCTGGAAAAGGCATTTGATAAGGTACCCTGGAACAAGCTCTGGGACTGCTTGGCAGGGAAAAACATCCCAGCACCCCTGATCAGTGCAATACAGAGTTTCTACAAAAGGTGCAGAAATTATGTAAGAACAGCAGACCAAAAGTCAGAAGAATTCAAGACCGCCAGCGATGTTAGACAAGGTTATATTCTCTCACCTTACCTCTTCATTCTTATGATGGATGATGTCATCAAGACCTGTAAGGAGAAGACAAAGAAGTACTCTGTAGGGTACTGGAAGATGAGACCAATCTGTATATCAGAGCTGGCTTTTGTAGACGATGTGGCCCTGATAGCTAAATCAGAGGCACACCTTCAGTCCAACTTAATTGTCTGAAAGGGAAGAGCTTGAAAAGAAAGGGATGACCATCAGTATCTCCAAAACTAAAACCATGGTGATCTCAAGAGAGGAGAAGAAACACCAGATCATGATGGGACAGTATGCATTGGAGCAGGTTAACCATTTCAAATACCTTGGAGTTGTACTAGACCAAAACTGAGGCATTAAGACTGAGCTGGCTTCACGAAAAGCAGCTGCTGGGAGACTCTTCCAGGCCATAAACGGAGGGTTTCTTAGCAAAAGAGAAATTGGCAAGAGGACGAAAATGGCTGTTTACCGCTCTACCTATGTATCAGTCCTGACCTATGGGTGTGAGTCATGGGCAATGACAACAGCTCACAGAAGCCAGCTGCAGGCCTCGGAAATGAGATACCTGAGAAAGGTGGTCCAAGTGACAAGAAGGGACAAAGTCCGTAATCAGACAATACGTCAAGATCTTGATACCCAGCCCTTACTAACCCGAGTAGATAAGTCACAGTTACGATGGTTTGGACATGTATGCAGAATGGGAGAAAATCGGCCACCATGGCAAGCATGGGAGGCTAAGAACCAGGGAACCAGACCTCCGGGACGACCCAGGGTGCGCTGGGAAGACAACATCCGATAGTCCCTAACTGACAGAGGACTGGAATGGAACAAAGCCAGAAAGAAAACTGCTGATAGAGACGTCTGGTGATCTCTCTGGCAAACCTCTACACCCCAAGGTAGAAGAGGAGCGACTAAGTAAGTTATTTATAAAATGGTTCTCTGGACATTAATAGTAAGATACAAACGACAATTTAAATTTAAAATGTTATGCATATAGCCTTTATTATAACCATATTTGTTACAACAGCCCACATGACTGTACAAAATGACAAAGTGTGTTGTATATTAATTATTTATAAAGCCATACAATGGCTTCCTTATCATTTAATCATTTACAATACAAAGAGCATTTTAAACGTCTTCTTTTTCTTAGCATTCAAAAGCTGTAAATTCCGGCATAATATTAAGGTTGTTCGTCTACTTATGGTATTGTTCCTGAACTTCAGTTTTGCATGCACATCCATGTATCAGATCTGGCTTATTTGTATGCATGGTTTCTTTGTACGCAGATTTGCTTTTTTGGCCTCTCAGACAGATTCACTATGACTTCGAAGGAACAACCCATAATTAGTTGACTTTGATTAATTATATCTTACATTTCTAAACAATAATTCTTAAATTAATTGTAATAAATCTAGGGGAAAATCCCTATCTGAAAAAAATACTATCAACTTTTAAGGGCGCATGTAAAAAAAAGATAGAGGTAGATATGCATGAGGACGACAGCAGTCTAAAATAGAAGAACAGGATAAAAAGGTGAATGTCACAAAATATAAACTCCAACTTCCCATTTGGCCCTAAACAAACAACAACAAGAATATTTTCACAAAGCAATACCTCCGCCATGCTGTTCTGAATTGGTGTACCCGTAAGCAGTAATCTGTTGCGGCAGCTAAAACCAAGGAGAATTTTCCACCTCACACTGAAATGAACATCAGAAGAATATTGTGATTTGTTTAAAACACTAAAGAAAAATAATGTACTGTAGAATCATAGACGATACTTCTTCGTGTTCACTAGCTGAGAATTCCAGTGAAAAGAAAGTTCTGGTTGTTCGTCCACTCCTGGACTTTGGTCCTTTTCCAGAAATTGAGTTTAGTATGCACATCTGTTTCAAAGATCTGGCATATTTGCATGCATTTTTGGTTGTGTTTAACTAAGGCTCTGTTAGACAACTCTGTCAGAGGTACACAAACAAAAAAGTGTCACTGACAAAGGTACTAAAGTTACATGTACACACCTGGACGTGCTTTTAATAGCCTGGGCTTCATCTAACACCATGTACTGCCACTTGATTCTCTGAAAATACTTGACATCTTGTATAACCAGCTGGTACGAAGTAATCACCACATGAAAAGAAGCGTCCTCAGTGTGCAAAGATTTCTGGTCCCAAAATTTGCGCAATATTTTGCGGTCTTGTGTGTTTCCCCAATATGGAACAACCTGAAATTTGGTTACAGAAAGTTAAGGAGAGTTTATGTAATTAGATTACAGAAAGTTCAGGTGAGTTTATGTAATTAGATTACAGAAAGTTAAGGAGAGTTTATGTAATTAGATTACAATAAGTTAAGGAGAGTTTATGTACTCTACTTTTCCAGAAAAGGTACACAGTATCCCCCCCCCCCCCCCCCCCAAAAAAAACATTACATTATTACATTACAGAACAGTGGTTTTTAATCTGGGGGAGGGGGCAAGGAAGTTTCAATACAGGCATCAAGTAATGTTGAAAGTAAGAGCATTCTGTACTTGTAAACAAAACTGTGCTACCAGCTTGGTATGTAGAGTGATCTACATTGTGCCTTGTCCAACATCAGACACAAATTAGCAGATATCATCAGGACAACACAGTGTCAACTCTCACAGTGATATCTGGACACCAAATTACCAGTTGTCAACCCTCACAGTGATATCTGGACACCAAATTACCAGTTGTCAACCCTCACGGTGATAGCGGGACACCAAATTACCAGTTATCAACCCTCACAGTGATATCTGGACACCAAATTACCATTTGTCAACCCTCACAGTGATATCTGCAAACCAAATTACCAGTTGTCAACCCTCACAGTGATATCTGGACACCAAATTACCAGTTGTCAACCCTGACAGTGATATCTGGACACCAAATTACCAGCTTTTAACCCTCACAGTGATATCTGGGCCCCAAATTACCAGTTGTCAACCCTCACAGTGATATCTGGGCCCCAAATTACCAGTTGTCAACCCTCACAGTGATATCTGGACACCAAATTACCAGTTGGTAATTGTTTCTTTTACTGACACTGACTTATTTTCTTATCAACAGTACATGTGATAATTTTCTTTTTGTCACGTGATTCATTGTTCTTATATATTGAAAAAAAGTTAAAAACTTGACTTCGAGATCACATTAGTGGTCAAGAAGTTTTTAGCCACCAGTTTCCAAGTGAAAGACGTTGATGAGCTGCTGTTTTTGAGTTTAGATTTCCTTGTTACAGTTCTGATTATGGTCAAATGGTTTGGTCATCTTGTTAGAATGCATGCAAATACAACTACAACCAACACAAGGCGCTACACTTGAAAAGACCTAAAGTGAAAGCAAGCGGTCACCCTAGGAGAATGTAGGCTGATGACACTAAAGACCGTCTACATCGGCACGGAATGGTAAGAGCCATAGCTATCCACTAAGCACTGGATCGTGAATAGTTTCTCTCCATAATGCTTAATAGCAAAAGTGAAAACTGATGATTATTATAGTTTACTGATGGTTGATAACGGTCTTGTGAACTGTCTCTAACACTCCTTCCACTGGATACATGAACACTCACCAGGGGGCTTGACAAACAAAGACACACACAGTTTTACATTCAATCTGTTTTAATAAACAATATAAAATTATTAATTAACAAACAATCAAAACACATTTTAAAGTCACTTTTTCATACTCCCTGTCTGTTCTAGGCCCCTACTGTGGTGGAATATACCTGTTACCACCATAACTGAAGGGGGAGGGTGTGTGTGTGTAGGGGGTGGGGCCACTACCGCCCAAACAAAGATGTCGTAAAAGTAGACTAATTCAGGAAGTTTTCTTCACTGTAGGATCTATCTGCAGATGTGCTGAAAGGCTAACTCTCACGCACGCACGCACACACACACAAAGAGGTGGTGGACAAAATAATTTGTTGAATCTTTGACGTAAAACATAAAGACAGGTTATGAGCTTTCATTTTCAACAGAAAATCGAGTCTGTGAATTAACACTTTCGGCCCACGAATGCTAACAAATTGGGGTAATGAATCTGTGAGAAAACTCCCAGAAATAAATCCTTAAAAAGAAACAAATATTTTACACAGGTCACTAATGAATGTTAAAAGGCAGTGGGTGTATTCCCCCACCCATCCCTCAAACACAGGTTGGTTAGTTGCGTATCCTTTACAGGACGTTGCAGAACCAACCCCAACAGCCCCTGGCCGTTTTGTGGTTTTTCTAGGCAAATTTACGTCCAGTAGTTTGCCATAACTTTCTGGACGGTCGGCTTTCTTGATACCACTGTCGAAACTAACGCAAGGCACATGGCCCCCAGCTGGGATCGAACCCGGCATTACGAAGCGTTCACATCGACTTAGCCACAGAGCCGACCCCAAACACAGGACTGTTCTATATATTATTATTTTTAAAGGATCTGAAACAGTAATATACACTGTATTCTAAAGAAAATATCAGTAGAAGGATAAGACAAACCTCTGCAAGGTAAGCGAGGAAAGCAATGCTCTGCACCGTCTTCCCCAGACCCATCTCATCAGCCAAGATTCCGTTAATACCTTGGTTATAGAGGTTGGCTATCCAGTTCATGCCCTTCAGCTGGTACCCCTTCAACTTGCCATTAAACATATCTGGCTGTGCACTGTGGGAATCTGCACTCAAATTGGGCTCAGACAGAACAGTGTTCACTGAAAAGACAGCAAGTAAGAAAGTTATAAACAATATGTATCTTCCTTCTGCTTTATTGGGTTATCACAATCTATGGCACTGCTCATTTACTCATACACACTGGGCATTTTCTGGAGTGATGTTACATGTGCCCAACTATAGTAAAAAGTCTACTATATCGTAGCAACCAAAATTTAGCAACAGGCAAAAAAAAAAGAGTAGAATCAAGTTCCAGAGCTGACAGGAGAGCCTAAATCGGCCTTGCTTCCCAAAATACAAGTGTTAGGACTGATTCAGGCTTCATTTATAAAAAAAAAAATTCGGCTCAGCTGTTCAATTTAGTCATGTTTGTCCTGGGTAATAAAACAAACAAAATGTATGCATAAATATGCTATTTTGTGCACTGAAACCCCAAATAAGGCTCCGTTTCCAAAGGGTTAATGCATTACTTGTTTTAATTCTAATTTTAGTATTTCTAAACTCTTTCAGATTGTCACTTTTGTGTTTTTGAATCCATCACATTTGGACGGAACACCACTTTAAAGGCTGTTCAAAAAGACACTGTAATGAAAATGAATTAGTATAAATGTTTTAAAAAGCTAGAATTTTAGCGAAACATAAGTCTTTTTTCTTTTCAAAGTTTAGCGTGGTGATTAGATCACTTTCTGATTTGTTTTCAATTTAATCAGTGTGATACAATTTTTTGTGTGATTTTCCTGAAATGGCAGCTTCCAACCCTTCAACATTCACTGCAGAGCTAGAAGAATGACAAAACTCAGGTTTTAGATCTTATGAAGAAGGCAAATCTAGTAGTGATGACTTAGATTCTGAATTATCCAACAATGATGGCAATTGTGAATAACAACCACCTGCTGCAAAATGTGCCAGACCAAATGGTAAGGGAAACCAAAACAAAAAAACAGCGCACAGAACTGCGCATACTGCTGCTGCAATTGATGAATCTGAGTCAGGTAGTAACAACAATAGTGCGTTTCCTGGAGGGTTAGAAAAATATTTTTAAAAACCTGCATTTTAAAACTTATCTTGGATCCTACATTGACCTAGCCTAAAAAGGGTAGAAGGAAATTTAACGGGAAGCAAAAGTAGCTGACGTGATGCTGACAATACCATATAACACTACAAGCGTCAAATAGTCTTTTAAAAAATATGGGTCTGGCACCATATGCCTACTGTAACACTGGTGCAAAAGGGCTCTTTACCTCTTACATATGCCTGCTCAATTCGGCAATCCTTTTCTGCAGCGAATCAGGTAAAATTTATAGTTAATACAATCTGAAAAACCTAGTTAATTTCTGTTTGTGTCCAGGTGTGCAAGACAGATTAGGCAGAGAGTAAAGACACAATGACAGATCATAAATATGTTTCAAACGAAAAATCCACTTACATGAGTCAGAGTCAAAAGCTCGTCTCTGAAACAAAGAAAACAAATTTTACAATATTTGAGACTGTTAGATGACAAGAATATTTACAATGTCCACAACAACAATTTAAATAAAAAAAGAGGAATTATTTCCTACAACTCCAGTAGTATTCCATGTATTTTATAACACGTTTCATATTGTGACACATTTAAAAGCCGTTTCATTTTAACATTCAGTTAAGAAGTAAGTTGCTAGTGGAATTATAAAATTAATATTTTGCAACACTATTTCCATTCAAATGGGTTATAATTAATTTTTTTAAACATAAAATATAAAAATTCAATTTATGTATGTATAATTATTGTACATAATGTGAAAAATCAACAGCAAAACCCAAGTTCATCAACAATGACAACTTTCATATCTGGACATTATCAACAAAGATCATTAACACGACAACTTTTAAATCTAGACATTATCAACAAAAATCATCAACAAGACACCTTTTATATCTGGACATTATCAACAAAGATCATCTACAATGACAACTTTTATATCTAGACATTATCAACAAAGATCATCAACAAGACAACTTTCATATCTGGACATTATCAACAAAAATCATCAACAAGACAACTTTCATATCTGGACATTATCAGCAAAGCTTACAGAAACACCCAAGTTCATCAACAAGACAACTTTCATAACTGGACATTATCAATAAAGATCAACAACAATGACAACTTTCATAACTGGACATTATCCACAAAGATCATCAACAATGACAACTTTCATATCTAGACATTATCAACAAAGTTCATCAACAAGACAACTTTAATATCTGGACATTATCAACAAAGCTAACAGTAACTGCCAAGTTGACTAACAAGATAAATTTCATAAATGGACATTATCAACAAAGCCAACAGCAACATCGCAGTTCATCAACAAGACAACTTTCATAACTGGACATTATCAACAAAGCTCATTAGCAAGACAACTTTCATATCTGGAATATCTTGAAGCTCAAAACAGACTGAAAAACATTAAATTACGAGGAATTTTGTCTGCTCTCATCCTTACAAGGGCGGCTGCATTGTGATTTACAGCTAGGCTGTGATATCTGTGTCTTTCAGCCTAATATATCATATCTTGGCAAGCCCCTAATTAGTCTAGTCACTTACAACATGCTGGCTAGGCAGGCTGCGGGTCTTCCCCCCAACTACAATCATATACTTTTAAAGACAAAACATTTCAGAAGAGAAGGCTCTGAAAACATGACCTGGAAATTACTAACCTCCAATACATTCTTTGTGTAAGCAGTCTGGGCATTGTCCAAGGCTAGCTTCTTCATTACCTCACTATCTGAAACACAAAATGAATAAATAGCATTAAAATGCATTATCAAACAAGGATACTGTAGAGCAATAATTTGACTCTGGGACCAAAGCGATGAAAAATAGGGATCGTCAGGCCAGATACCTGTGCCACAGCAAAGCAAAATCAACAATACAATACGATCTCCAGGTGATACGCAAGCCATATATTAGGCTCCTGAGAGCCGGCTTTGGCCTGCGAGCTGGCTTTTGCACGCCGACCAACAGTTGATTAGTCCTGCTGTAAAGTTACTTGATCGTTTGCTGGTATAAAAGCATTTGGCTTGAATCCGCACTGAGCAGGATTTTCATCAAAAACGGCCTTGGCTCCCCGGCCTACACTGGGCAGAGGGTAAAGTCCTAGGGAGTAAAGGCGGACGGGGTGATGCTGACCCACATCATCCCAATGAGTGCTGACTGGTCTACTAAAATATGAGTCTATGCCAGATCCCCACTGAAGTGAAAAGGGTCCTTCCTTTACATTAAAATCAATTCCTCCCAGTCACTGGGCTGAGTCCGCTGACAACAAAAATACCTCAAATCTGTGGATGAAACACTTGAGCCTACTCTCAGTAGATTACTACTATACCGTACTAAATCATGACCCTAATACAACTGTTCCAGTACTACAGTGATCCCAAAAATAAGCCCAAACATGATTTTTCAGGATGTTTTTAATATAAGCTCTACCCCAAAATCGCATATAGAATGAGAGATTGGAGCAAATGGATCAAAAGAAAATGGGGTAACAAAAAATGGAGGCCAGAATTTAGGATTTGGCCAGTTCTGATTGTATTCCATAAGATGACACGACTGTATTTAAATAAATGTAGAATTATGTACATAAATAAATTCAGACTTTGTATCTGAAAAACAAAAACAACACATAAGCCCTAGTGAATTTTTTAAAGCAAAAATTAACATAAGACCCAGTTGTAATTTGGCGGACACCTGGTCGTCTGACACAATATGCTGGTTTGTTATCCTGAACAAAAGTGGGAAAACACTGCACAACAGCCACCATTTTACAGATCTGGCTTATTTGTAAGCAGACTGTTGGTTCCTTGCCTCTCAGAAAGATGCATTTAGACTTCAAAGGAAATGCCCCTAATCAGTTGACTTTAACAACATGCTTGTTATGGGGGGTGGGTCTATTCTCATTTTTCCCAAAATGGGGCCTCAGAACCCACATGGGGAATCCATCAATATAATTCAACTTACCATAGTCATCGTCTCCCATTTCATCTTCTAAAACTCCGCCATTTACTTGCCGAGAGCTGAAGCCTTTATGTCTTTCCTCCAAATGGCCAAGAATCTTCTCTTTCCGTTCTGTACCTTCTCCTGTAATTTTCCTAGCCATAAAATGAGCATACAGTTCTGTCTGCGTAATCAAGAAGTTCAGCTTGCGTTGCTGCCGTTTGGCCTAAACAAAAATCAAATAAAAATGTGACAAACTTAATTTTAGATTCGACTGCAGTAATGGTAATTATATTGCATTTACTGGTAAATTGTTTCTTAAAGTCAAGGCTTAAGTAGAGAGAATCAACTTCATTGCACTAGGTTTTATTACCCTATATGGCTCACTCACTCTTCTCAGAACAGCTAGCCACCTGTCAAGAGCGCCAAACAGAGCGTGAACTCCATAGCTCCGGTGACGATCCCCCAGGAAACTCCGTAAATGAACCCACGACCTTCAGAGCGCAAGGCTTGGCCACTTCGCCGCAGAGTTTCCTGTAGTACTGTTTCTCATTTAATCAGACTGCTATTGATCCCATCAAGAATTGAATAAACATTCATTTTTCTGTACTTTGAATCAAAAACAATTCGCATTTTAAACCTTACTCTGGAGGTCAACTTTGTGTCCTAGTACAGATTTTTGGTGCCCACCATCAGACCAGTCCAGAGCAGCCAGGCAATGCTGGTCAGCCTTCAAATTCAATTACAGCTGCACTCTTTCACTCCCAGAAGACTTTAGCAGACGTCCAGATAGAACCAAAACCGCAATGAAAAAAGTATGAATACTTGAATCTTCATAAATGTGGTAAAGTTTTTGTAACCTTATGATATGATGGAGTATGAAACGGAAATTTTTTTTTTCCTAAAAAAAAATCTTAGTTTTAATAGCAAAAATGTATTTAATAAATTCTGTTTTCTATAAATATATTTAAAAGTCTTCTTCTTTTTCTTTGCATTCCTGACTGTAAATTCCAACGGAAAGCTTTGGGTGTTTATCCACTTCAAGACTTTAGTCTTGTTTCAGAACCTGAGTTACTGCATGCACATCTGTTTCACAGATCTGGCTGCTTTGTATGCAGATTTGTGGTTCCTTGCCTCTCAGACAGATGCGCTCCGACTTCTATGACATGATTGTTGTGGAGTCAGTGGGTCTATTCTTGTTTTCCCCCACACTGGGGCCCCGCAATCCACACAGGGATATTTCCAAGTAAAAAAAAGTCTTAGATTAAAAGGATCAATGTACTCACTAAACGGTTACATGTACACCCACCTCTCTCAACTCAATATCCAGTTTACGTTGCTCCAAGGCCTCTTTCTCTGCTCTCTTCCTGTGCTCCTTTTCTACTTTCTCAAACCGTTTCCAGTATATCAGCATCTCCCTGGTGAGCCGCCGTGCTCGAGATGGTGTTTCCTTCATGGTCTTTTGAGACTGCAAGGCTGATCGACGGCATTCCCTCATAGCTTGTGTGGATATCTGTATACATACATATGCAACATTAGACTCATCAACAACATTATTTACCACACGCAGCAAAGTAGAATTCAAATAATATACCGTGTTAACGAACGGTGTATGCAACAATTAAGACTGTGTATGTCTTCTTCTTTTGTCAGTATTTGCTCTGTGTCCCTCCACACTGAAGTTTAACAGATGACAGGTAGCCAAGCTAGCATGCGCTCAGTTGCCTGGTATGCAAGCAACATTCACTGTTACTCTACCAATCCTTTTACCCGTTCTAAAGCATTCACCATTAGTCTACCAATGCTTTTACCGGTTCCAAAGCAGCATTCACCATTACTCCACAAATCCTTTTACCGGTTCCAAAGCAGCATTCACCATTACTCCACAAATCCTTTTACCAGTTCCAAAGCAGCATTCACCATTACTCCACAAATCTTTTTACAAGTTCCAAAGCAGAATTCAACATTACTCCACCAATCTTTTTACAAGTTCCCAAGCAGCAATCAACATTACTCCACAAATCCCTTCACCAGTACCAAAGAAGCATTCAACAATACTCCACCAATCTATTAACCAGTTCTAAAGCAGCATTCAACATTACTTCACCAATCTATTAACCAGTTCTAAAGCAGCATTCAACATTACTCCACCAATCTATTAACCAGTTCCAAAGCAGCATTCAACAATACTCTACCAATTGATTTACCAGTTACAAAGCATCATTCACCTGCCTAAGGCTACCCAGGAAATTCCATCCTTTTTTTCAGGCCTTCCACTGTTTTTTGGTGGTTCCATTTTCATGTTGTGCGTTCTTACAGCCTGTATAAGTGGATTTATTTTCAGTAGGTAGTTGAATCATTTCAGTTTCTCAATGAATTTAATGACAGGTACACAAAATTTTGTGTCTCAAAAATCTCACAGATGGGTCGTTTACTCTCATAAACTGGTTAATGTCAAAGTCAGACTCTTTTAACATATTTACAAGTGTTGAAAGGAAGCCGTGACTGTGCAATGGTTAGATATAGGGCTGTACCGAATATTCGCTTCGAGGCCGAATAGCGGACCTAATAACTATTTGGCCGAATACTTGCAGTCGGGCCGAATACGAATAGTGGTTACCTTACAAAACAACTTCTTGAGGCCTCAGAGATGTGGTTTTACAGAACAATGCTTAAAATGCCTTGGAGAGCCCCCCCCCCCCCCCCCCCCTTCCCAAGCAATCAAGAGGTTTTGGAAGAAGTGGGAGCCTGAAGACAACTAATTACAGACATCAGAAGGAGACAGTCATCATATTTCGACCATATTATAAGAAGAGGGAAAACGGAACATGTGGTGACCACTTGAAGATCTGTGGAAGTAGGGATAGAGGAAGACAACAAGAGAAGATTCTTGACAGTCTTGTTTGCATGGTGTGGAGGTGTGTCAGCACACGAGCTAATGCATGCTGCAGAAGATCGCAGACTGTGGCAAAGCCTAATCGCCCACGCTAGTCGGCAAGGCACCTGATAATGATATACTATTCATATTCGGCCGAATAGTTGGTTCCGCTATTCGTATTAGGTACAGCCCTAGTTAGATACTGTTCGTGGGTTGAAAGTTGTTTAAACTGAGCTTTCAAATTAACAAACCCTAAAATAAGTCCCTGGAAATTTACTTGGAGGTAAAAGCAACTAGTATCATGCATCAAGTGTTTAACAGGTCTACGGAAAATATGCAGCTAGCACCACATACCAAAAGTGCCTGAAAACAAGATGGCGGTCTTTTTTCCTTCTTCTAAATCTTTACACTAAAAAAATTTTTACACACATCTTAAACTCTAATGTTTTACTACCTATTTTATACACATACCCAAACAGTGTAATGTGATAATGCCTTTTTTTTTTTACATCCACCCAAAACTGTGTAATGTGCTACTACCTATTTTTTACACACACCCAAAACAGTGTAATGTGCCGCTACATATTTTTTACACACACCTAAAACAGTGTAATGTGCCTCTACCTAATTTTTTTTTCCATACGCTCAATAATATTCTACATTTGATTCTGAACCAGTCCTTGCCCTGGCCTGTCTGAAACCAAACAACCATACATAAACACACATAAAGCACCCACACAGATCTAAGGACTGTTCTTTAAGACACACATGATACTTATGCACATACCTTTTTCATTGTTGCCAACATTTCCTTACGAGCTGAGGCTTTCTGTTTCTGCGCCTACAGAAAATATATATTTACTCTTATATTTTTTTTTCATGTTATATGAATATTTCAGGATTCTTTGGCATGCTGGGAGGTGGGCAACAGACATTACAATATCTGAGTGTACAGCCAGTGAATGTGAAGAGGAGGAAGAAAAAAAGAACTCAGTGTAATTTATTCTGAGAAAGACTGCAAAATGATGTTTCTAGTAAATTTACTTTCTGTATATTTATACACCCTAAAATATGTAGGGTTCACAAAGTAAATTACTTATAGTGAACCACTGCTGTTTGTAGAATTTTCATCAATGCACTTATCTCCCTAAAAATAATTAGCTGATAATGTTATGATTCAGTTATGTTCAGAAGGACTGTATTTTACTTGTGTATATGCAGCAACCCCTTTTGAGATGATAATTTTAGGAAAGAATAATCTTCTTATAATTATGTCGGAAGACCAAGAGCAAAACAGCAGTACCTTAGTTTGGTTTAGTCCATTGATCAACATCATAGCACACTGGTGCAAACCCTAAGTGTTCCCTTCTACTTCTAACTCAAGGTGGGGATCCTGAAATACTTTCAGGTAGATTTTGAACTCCAAATGTTACCACTCTTTTTTTATTTCAAACTGCCAAGGGATTTTTAGACGAGTGCAAGAATACACCAGCACTCAAGGCAGATGCCATACCTCGAGACCACGGAGCCCCCCAGTAGTACCTGAAAATAGTGACAGATGGGCATTGCAAGAGCAGGTTACAGTTGTAAATGTAAGTTGCAAGTAGTACGTTATACGAAAGAAAATGGAAACCGAGCAGCTGAAACGAAGTTCAATGTGGATGAGAAAAAATATTTGAAGACGGATTGGACTGGATTTTAAAGTCAACAATCTTTTCATGGCAAGAAGGTGAAATACCCAGAAGAAAAACCAATCTGCTGGAATATGTCAAGAAATTAAAAGTAGATGGGTTATCTGTGTCTGTGGAAATGTTAGTCTGAAGTGTTTCAATTATCAGATATCATGGGGATTTCTCAATCCAGTTATGGTGGGCAAGGCACTTTATGGCATGAAATGACCTCGTGACTTGGTGGCGGATAAACATGGCATCAATTACCGGTACTGTTTTCATAAGGTTAAAAATTTTTGTATTGTTTATTAATAAATTCTGAACAAGTGAGATGTAGGTCTCATATCTTGAATATATAAGCCACACTCTATTTTTCACCAATGACTTTCAGTTAAAATAATGCGGCCTATACACATGCAAATACAGTATATTTTGTTTTAATAGACTTGTTGACAATTTTATGTTACACTTTACTAATCCTCAAATAATTTTTTTTAAAGTAATGTAGATAACATTTTATTTGGTTTGATAAAAAATTTCAACAATAGAATACATAATACAATTACCTACTGAATCAATTGATTAAAACGAAATGATACAGCATGAAACTAACCCTTGGGATTTCCTTCTTTGCAATAGAAATCCATAACTTCCTGCGCTTAGCATCAGCTTGTTCTGGTGTCAGCTTCTTTGATTTCTTTTCTTTCTTCTCAAAACGTTTAGCTAATATAGCCTGAAGTACTGATGGGTCAATTTCCTATAAACAATCAAGATGACACAAGCAAATGTAATGGGTTAAACCTGTAGTAAACTACCCAAAAAATTCATAACAGGAAAAAATTGTGTTAAGTTAAAGCTTAGAGGGTTGACTTCATTGCATCAGGTTATCCTAAATAGCTTGGTCTCTTTGTGTATGTTGAAGCCACTGTGGTGTAGCCGCAGGATGCTCTTCTGCAGACCCAGAGGTCGAGGGTTCAAACTCGCATGGTGCAGGATTTTTTCAAACATGAACTTAGTCATGATCTTGGCTCCCAGCTTGACCCAGCCTTAAATAGGTACCAGATAAGGTCCTGGAAGTAAAGGCGACCAGATTGATGTTCACCACATCATCCATCGAGGACCAACTGGTCTTTACAAATATGAGTTTACTTTTACTCTCTGTACACGTTTGCATGCGTGTGTGTACGTATATAAATCTGTATGCATATACCACACATGCCTTTGTGTATTTTACATAATATTTATATTACATATATTGTTATATGAACATAACATGCCATATAGATCCAATACAATTGCTGTGTGAAAGATGAGTTAGGAAGGGCTGAATATTTGTTGGGCCCCCATGTCCAAAATGTGACCCTTTGAAAATATTCTGTTCATTCTGTAGAATGGCTAGTTTCCTGCAGAAAGCACCATTCCACAGCTCCAGCACTCGAGCAATAATACCCAAGAATCTGTGTGAACGCTGCACTTGTAAACTGTACGACCCATAAAATGAACCCTTAAAGTGTGAGATAAATGGTTTTATCACTACACTTTCCTAGTTAATGTTAGCTGTTTTGGTCTGCTGATTAGACTTACCTACCACAATATATGAATTGACCCTGTTTTTATAAACAACCAAGGCATCAGTCACCATGAAAATTCAGCAAACAAACTTCCAGTCTGATTTATGCAACAAAACCATATTTTTTTTTGGGGCGTTCACCCTTAAAAGAGCAGTTGGCATACTGTGTTGTGGTTAACAGCTCGGCAGCAATATTTGCACATTTTGGCCCACAACACCTGATTTTGACAAAACCCCAATTAGTCTCTTTTTACGACATGCTTGATAGGACGTAATGGGTCCCCCTAACCCACGGGGAGAAACTATACCACTAAAGTTGTCGTTTACTTCTTTGACTTCACTAGCTGTAAACTCTGGCAGAAAGATCTGATTGTTCCTCCACTTCTGGACTCTAGTTATGTTCCAGAAACTGAGTGTTGCATGTACATTAGTTTCACAGGTCTGGCTCATCTGCAAAGCAGATTTTCGGTTCCTTGCCTCTCAGGCAGATGTAATCCAACTTCGAAGGAAGCTCTCAATTAGTCAACTCCTATGACATGCTTTTGGGCAGGCAGTGGGTTCATTACTTTCCTACAATAGGACCCTGGAATCCACGGGAGATTGGGGGTGGGGGGGGGGAGTGTAAACAGGAGGTCTTGTACAGAAAATTTTATAATGGAAACAATGTCAGGAGCACTTAAATTTAGACAGACCAAATTACTGGTCGCCACAGTGCACATTTGAATCCTTTCACCCCAAGAAGCCGCAAATCTGGCACAGGCTCTATCCCGTAATTGATTAGTTAGTCTTTCCTCTTGAGCCTAAGATGGCGCATAGGGCAGAGACCATAGCTTTCCATGTCTGGAGGTTTGTTGCCACATGTTTTAGGTCTTGGATGTTCATTAGGCCTATGGTTGAGCCTTCCTTGACGATGATTCTAGTCTCTCTCTTGGTCTTCCGCATTTTCTTTTCCCTTCTGTTAACAGTGCTTACCCATTATTTCTGTCCCTGAGAAGCCTAGTTAACACCATTTGTTGTGAGCGCGCCTGCGCAGCATTAAGGTCAGCATATGAATATATTATATTAACAGCAGCATTTAGGGGTTTTCCAATAAACAGAATGGCCATTTTAAAACTACTCTGACATCATAAACAACCTTGGAGTTCGATTTTGATGAGGTCAAGAGTTGAGTCACTCTACGCATTTTCAGACCCAGGAGAAACAACTAATTTCTTGACACCATGTTTATTGATTACTGTCCACATTATCCTTTAAATAATTTAAATACTTTCTTTTTAATGTGTGTGTGACCTGTGTAAAATATTTGTTCATTTAGGGATTTTTTTAGGATTTCCAGGGAAACTGCACTGTTTTTCCAAATGTTCGGCGGTGCAAAAGCCTTGACAGTGCATTTCACCAATAAAAAACATTTAACGACAGTGTGGAAGACTGCTACCATTCAAACTGATTGTTCATTTAAGAGTTTTTAAGGACTTCTAGAGAACTCTTTTGTTTTTCTAAAGGTTTGGCAGTTCAAAAGCCCTGACAGTGCATTTCACCTATAAGAAATTTTTAACGACAGTGTGGAGGACTGCTAACATTCAAACCAGTGTGAAGGACTGCGAACATTCACTTATTTTTGAGAATACACAAGAAAGGATACAAGATCAAGTACCCAACAAAAAACTGCCATTACTGCCTGTATTTACTACTTTTGCAGTGTAAGGAGGGGATATGTGAGTCTGAAGATTGACGGTCCCACAACCAGTACTGCTGCCACGGACTGCTGCAGGTTAGAATTTGATTTTGCCCTGAAAAGAAATGCCTTGGTTCCATATAAAGAACTAAAGAGAACTCAATGATGATGAATTATGTTAGCTACTTCTTAATTCTCTGACAGAGGGTAAGCTATGAGCGTATATCTTTATAAAAAAAAAGCCTTAAGTCATTAGGCAAGCAGAGGATTTTAAAGGACACCAGATGACCATAGAAAGCATCAAAATGTTAGACTAAGCCGACTAGCGTCAGGGCCGGGGCTTATAAAAACAAACAAAAACTAACCTCTCCATCATCATCTAGGTTGTGTTCCTTTTTCAACCTCTTGAGTTTTGCTGAAAATATATATGACAAGAACTTCTTTGAAATAAAAAAGAAGAAAAAAATCAGTACAGAACCTTACACAAATAAAATAGTACAAATCAGAGAAGTGCATCACTCCCTCTTTCTTGTCTGTCTCTTCTTAACCACAATGGCCTTCAAATCAACTGTGCCGTTCTGTCTTATATTTTTTAATCTCCTGCTGCCTCCTCCGTGTCTTTTCCATAGTGTTAAAATGTCTCTAATTTGCTTCCTCATGTGTGTGTTTTTTTTTTATCTTCCTCTTTTTTCTTTCACACTGTGTGTTCTGGCGAAGGGTCCTTCCAATTATATTTTCAGGTAATGTCCAGTACCAGAATCTTTCATTTCTTGACTAAAGTGAATTTGCTTAGTGCTCTCTCCACAAGTGCCTTATTGGTTATTTTGTCATACCATTTTATATATTTTTTTCCCTGGGTTGGTTCTGAGGCTTCATTTTTTCAGGGGAAAGGGGGCGATTGGGGGCTGGACCCAGTGCTCCATAACAGAAATGTTAACATTAAGGATTTGCTGAAACTGAATGTATTGGTCCACAATGCTTAGATATCACAAACTAGCTGTAATCCACATCACACCAACTGCCCTCTTAAGATGAATGCCGAGGAGGTCCTGTGCATACACCATTTAATTAACCTTTTTAATTACATGGTCACCTTGTCTTATGAGTGACTTTCGTGACTAACAGGGCGTAGTCCATCTGGTAGTAAGTTGATTTTTTTCCTTTAAACAAGTTGTTAAAATTGTATAATGTGTGTATGTAAAATTATTGTACATAATGTCTACTCTACTACATCAGTTCCAGGAACACTGTGATACTACCGATGGAGATATCTATTTATTTACTATTTCTGTATATTTTTTAGATGGTTGTAAATGTGGGTGGCTGTAAGTCGAGAAGAACGTGTATTAGAGCATGTTTCAGTTGTGCCCTCTACTTCATACCAAAATAGGGCTCTCCTTTAAATAACGGTCGCTAGCTGGAAGGCGATGGCCACTTAGTCGGAGTTCACTCCCCTGGCTGCAGTGCAAATACGGAGCGGACAAGTCATGAATCCAACAACAAAGTGAGGTCGACATGCCTGCTAGAGCTAGACCCCACGCTGCGACTGACAGTACCGACTGCGGTCTTCCGACGCTAGACTTAGTGACCGTAGATGTGAGACCTGCGGATCTGTATATCGTAATGAGCGATAAGCTTCTGTCGTTTCCGTGATGTGTTACCCTAACCCTACCCCACACCCTTACACTACTCCTACCCCTAACCCAAACCCTGAGCCTAACCCAAGGATGACAGGTAACTATATCATTTGTTTCGTTCCCTCTTTACCACTCCGTATTTGCACTGCAGCAAAGGGAGTGAACTCCGACTAAGCGGCCGTCGCCTTCCAGCTAGCGACCATTATTTAAAGGAGAGCCCAAAATAGCACAACTGAACTGACAAGAGTTTCGTACTTCAAGTCATATGCTAGTTTTAATTTTTTTATAGCCTTCCACAGCCTTACTACTGCATTCACAGCTCCTGTTGTCTTTTGTAGTCTTATTTTCATATCGTTCTATATCTGCCAAGAATAAATATTAAATATGATAACACTCCTGAAATGTTGAATATTAAATTAAAAATCAACATCACAGCACTCGGGACACTGCCATAAGCGCTCTGTCCACATCTTCAAAAGCAAGCAAAGAGTTCCGAATCCGATGGCACCAGTAAATGTCTGACAGTATATCTGTCTCCTCTTTCCCTTGAGTGTTGAGCGTCGGCCAGAACCCCTGGTAACTCCTGGCAGCACCATTCTCCTCAGACCATAATGATCTATTTGTGCCACTGCACTGCTCACTTGTTCCCAAAAGGCCCTCACAACACTAGTCTCTCATGCATCGATTCACCACCAAGTGGTGCAGAACTGGCCATTCTATCTGTCTTCTCATTGTCCAACAAACCGGCATAACCTGGAGAAAACATCCTAAAGACGCTAACTACCTCGGACCTCTGAAGCGATGCTTGCCACTCTGCACAGAGCATGCCTGTCTCAAGTGAGGATTTATTCTCATTATCTCTCTTTCCTCTGTGATTTTTGATTAACCTAACTGTTATGACCTCTAATCAAGAAACCAGTATACAAGCCTTAGGATTTGTAACAAAATCAAATTCTGTTTTGATACAATACAAATTTCCCCCTCCCTCTTCTTATACCTCTATTAAATCTAATATAAACAAATCAATGTTACCTTTGGCTTTCTTCTCCTGCTTTTTTTGTTCCTTGGCTATCTTCTTTTTGTGACCAACAATGGATTTGCTGTGTTCTGGGTACTTGTCATAATTAGACAACAGCCCAGTGCTGTAGTACTGATATTGGTGAAGCTGTTGATAAAGAGTGCATGCATTTTTCTTTTAAAGTTGCAGATACTCTTCTTATCACTATTAAAATATATATCTGATAATGACAAGTGTTTCAATGAACAATAAAAACAGTCACACTGAGATTATAAAATAGATTTTAAACCTGCCACCTTGGGAAAGTCGTCCTTATCTTCATCTTATTTGCACTTAACCAGCTGTAAACTCCGGTGGAAGGTTCTAGTTGTTCGTCCACCTCTGGAATAAGTCTTGTTCCAGAACCTGAGCGCTGTGTGCACATCCATATTACAGACCTGACATACCAGTATGCAAACTGTTGGTTGCTTGCCTCTCAGGCAGATGAACTCGAACTTAGAAGGAAGCACCCAATTAGTTGACTCTTACAACATGCTTGGGGGGGGGGGGGGGGGGGGAGTGGGTCTATTCTTGTTTTCCCCACAATGGGGCCCCGGAACCCACATGAAGAATCATTTTTATGACACATGTAGGCATCTTATGACATGAAGTCCTTTGGTAGTGGCCAGTACACCTATAAAACAGCTTTGGGACTCGCTGTAACTGCACAGTGTGTATACATATGGATTATGACTATAAACACACCCAAACATATTTTTATTATTAGGGGTTTTTCAAGAAGAAAAACAATTTTTCATTGTTTACGTCATAATCTCATAGGATATCGCTTTGCTCCCTGTGACAAAGTCAACAAAACCCTGCTCATCATAGTCAAATAAAGGAAAGCAATTCTTCGCATCATTTGTTATTTATCAAATTAATTCTCTTCTGCATGAAAAATTATTAATCAAAATAAAAATGGACTATGTTAGTGATTTGATGGCTGCAATGTACACCAGGCTGCCTTATATGTGCCTTTTGGGCCCAACACAAAAACTGCAAAATCCTAATTAGTCACACTTATGAGATGCCAGTTATGGGACAATTCTCAAAGCCTATTCTGTTCTTCTAAAGATGAGGCTCCAGAACCCAAACAAGAAAATGTGGTGTAAGATCACATAGGTCAGGCAATTCGTATGAAGTTAAATTAAACAAACACAATAGATAATCCCAGCAACCTTTAATAAGAAGCTGCAGTAGTAAAGTAGCTTGCACATTTGGCTGCCAGACTGTGGTCATGAGTTCAGGTCAGCCCAGTTTATAATGGTCAAGTAATGTCCTGAGAAGTAAATCAACCCAGCGTGATACTGACCACACCAGCATCTACTGTCAGTCAAAACCTGGGCAACAAACGCCTGAGGAGAATGGCACTGCAAGAAGTGACCAGGAGATCTGGTCAACGCTCAACACTCAAGGGAAAGGCTAGATTGATATACAATCAGACAGTTAGTGGTACCACTGGAATTGAAACTCTCCCCTTGCTGTTGAAGATGGGGACGGAGCGCTCATGGGAGTGTCCCAAGTGCTGTGATGTCATAAAACATCTTGACCGGATGGGGCACACAAATAATATCCAATACACACTGTGTGTTGTTTGGGACTAAAAGAAGTTAGCCTATCTATTTTGTCCCCATTATCCGTTCCCTTCTGGATTTTCCCTTTCTGTGCAATACAGCCATGGCATACTGTGCCAAGAAATCCACTTCAATACGTGCACCATTGATGTCCCACATACCCACAAATCTCTATACCAAAGGCCAACCTCAACATCTGTTACAAACAAAACAATTATGTTGATAATTATAACAACATAAACTTACATCAGGATCTTGATAAAACCTCATCTTATGTCTTTTTATGTGTTTGTGTATGTTCAGCATAAAATGGAGGTCTTCTACTTTCATAGACTTGTCATCTTCATCATCAGATGATGTGTCACTGAGAAGGATATTCTGTGAGATAAGGAATTCACATACAGACAAAATTAGTGAAATGAATCTGCAGAAAACGTTAGCACTGCAACGTAATGTGTCATAAAATTTCAGTATTAAATACAAAATAATGGAGAATTTAACCTAGAATAAAATCTTCTCAATACAAATTGTGGAAGGCTATTCTATAGCCTATTGATTGGCAAAATGCAATAGTTATACCAGTGTGGAAGAACAAAGGAAGCAAACGAGAATGAGGTCAATACCGAGGCATCTCTTTTTTAAGCCATTTTGGCAAAATGTATGCCAAGATAATAGAAACAAGACTGAGACCAGTGATAGAACCACAGCTGGCAGAAGAACAGATGGGATTTAGGAGAAATAGAAGCTGCACAGATGCAATCTTCACACTTAAACAGTTAAAAGAAAAGAACATTGAATACAATAAGAACTTATTTGTGGCATTCGTAGACCAGGAGAAGGCATTTGACAGAGTCGACAAACAATTATTATGGAAAGTAATGGCAAGATATGGAGTAAGCGAACACCTCATCGAAGTGTGCAAAAGTTTATACAGGGATTGTAGAAGTGTAGTTAGAATAAATCAGGGAACATCTCATCCATTCACAGTAACATCTGGAGTAAGACAGGGGTGTGTCTTATCACCACTGCTGTTTATCACCTACATCGACAGTATATGCAAGAATGCCAAGCCCATGAATGAAGATCTTAGTAAGATCAACGAATTACTCTTTGCAGATGACCAGGCCTTTATAGCAGATACAGCCATGAAATTGCAACAACATCTAATATCCATAAATGAAGAATGTAAAACAAATAATATGAGAATCAACACTGAAAATACAGAAGTAATGTCAAAAGGAAAAAAGAAGACAGATCTAAACATAGCAATAGAGTGCAAAGGCATTAAACAGGCATCTGAGTTTAAAAATCTGGGAACTACATTTACCGAAGATGGGAAATTGGATAAAGAAATTAACATTAGATGCAGTAAAGCAAACCAAGTATTGGGACAGCTAGCCCCCCTCTTACAGCATAAGACAATCCCAATCAGCACAAAGAGACATCTTATTCAAAGCATATTTATTCCAACTCTGTGCTACCAGTGCCAGACATGGTCACTCACAACAAACCATAAAGGAAAATTAGTAACCATGAAGATGAGATGTCTGAGAGGGGCTGTAGAAGTGACCATAAGAGATAAGATCAGGAATGAGATCATAAGAGAAAAAGTCGGCACAGAACCAATTCTAAATTACATACGAAGACAGCAGGCGAAATGGTTTGCCCACTTAGAGAGAATGCCTTGTGACACTATACCATACAAAGCATATATGGAAAGAGAAGAAGGACGTAGAGCATGAGGTAGACCAAGAACAAGATGGAAGGATAACATCAGAGAAACTCTACAACAGCACGATGTGCCTATGGTCGAGGCGGCCAGAAGAGCTAGAGACAGAACCTTATATCTCCCTCAACACCCATAGCGGTAAAAGAGGAAGTGAAGAAGAATTCTATAGCAGCTAGCTACTATCCAGGAGAGGCGACCACTAAAGATGTTATATAAAAGTGGGGTCGCCATTTCCTTCCATACTGCATGTTCCTTGCCTGACGACAAACAATACTATTACTGCCAATTTTATGACAATTTTTAAATGCTCAATAAATGAAGAAAAATAAGTGTCCAGCCATCCATCATATTTAAAAAACAACCTGTCTTACTAATGATTATTTTTCACCTAAAGCAGTTACAATACCAAACATACTGGACAAAAAGAGTTACGGTAACAGCTGGGGGATAGAATGAGTTTAAGTCCGAACAATTCAGGGCACGCAAGATTTCTGAAAAGCATTTCTTCTTTAAAGTTTGTCGGACCCCAAGCAGGGAGAGAAGAGCATATTATATAAGGGAATTATCAAGAAAAACATGGGGGTTTGTTTGGCACAGATGAGTTTTAATAGAATAGCAGATGAGTTTGTGCCCCAATGACCCCGAATGCTTAAAAAGACAAAAGAAAAACTGACAGAAACAAAGCCTAACAAAAGAAACTAGAAAAGAGCGGCAGGTACCGAGCTAACAAAACAAATTTCAGAACAGAGAAACGATCAGGGGCCAAGCGAACAAGACATTAACATTAGTCAAACAAACAGCAACAAACGAGAAGGGACCAAACCAATAAGACAAAAGTAAAACTAGAAAAATAGGCAGGGACCAAGCCAAACATAAAACTTTTACTTTACAGATAGGTGGTCTAGGAAAGAGTTAAAAACAAAAAACAAACCTGAGAGAAATGGTTTAAAGCCTGAACAAATCTCTAAAGCTGTCCAACTTCATGTAATGTCTTCCACCAAACAAAATAGAAAAGTTTTTAGCTAAAGGTTCTTACCCTTATCCAACGCCTACTTTTCTTAACTTTGCTGAAGTTGTACAGTCTAGTTTTATCTGCTTTTCTTTCTGAAATTAAAAAAAAAATTATATATATATATATATATATATATATATATATATATATATATATATATATATATATATATATATATATATATATATATATATATATATATATATATATATATATGAACATTGAGTTAACTAATAAGGAATGTACTCGCAAACACATCTCTTCTTCTTCGCGTTCACCAGCTGTACTCTGATGGAAAGTTCTGGTTGTTCGTCCACTTCTGAACTGCAGTCCTGCTTTAGAACCTGAGTGTTGTGTGTGCATCAGTTTTACAGATCTGATTTACTTGAATGCAGACTGTTGGTTCCTTACCTCTCAGGCAGATGCACTCCGGCTTCAAAGGAAGCTCCCCAATTAGTCTACTCTTACGACATACTTTTGGGTAGGCAGAGGGTATATTCTTGTTTTACCGACGATGGGGCCCCAGGGCGCACACAGGGAGGATTATTCTCTAATTTCCCTGCGCTCGTTTTTTTTTTTTTTTTTGGGGGGGGGGGGGGGGTGTGTTCCACTACCCCCACCTTCTCCAAACAACAAAAGAAAAAATGGGTGTTTCCTCTGCAGTCAGAATGAACCTGCATGTGAGATGAGTAACCAGCAGTCTGCATACATATAAAGCAGATCTGTAAAATATATAAACACACAAAATTCAAGTTCTGGAACAAGCCCAAAGTCCAGAAGTGGAGGAACAACCAGTACCTTCCGCCAGAGTTTTCTTCAGAGACAAGGAACCAACAGTCTGTATACAAATAAGCCGTATCTGTCAAATGTATCCTCATAAAAACTCAAGTTGTGGTCCACAAGTGGGACAACAACTACAACTTTCCGCCAGTGGACGCCCAAAAAAAAAGTGCCGTCTCCACAAAGAAGGTCGGCTCAGTGCGTCCACTGCTGTTCTGGGGAATATTACTTGCTACGATTCTCTCTTATCCCTGTCCAAAAGTCATGAGAACAGTCTGAGAGCCTTCACAAGTTTTCAGTTTACTTCTTTCAAAGGTCTCTTTCCTAATCCCTTCAGAATATACGCACTGTAGAATGCCCAAACACCAGTTCACATGTACAGATATGCCACAGAAAGAAAAAAAACAATTACCATATTTAGAGATAGAGGTTCCATTCGTCACTTTGCTATCTGCATGGTCTTTCGGACCAGACTTCTCTGTATTTAGCGGATCACTGTCATCTCTGAAAGATATAATCACATATATAAAAAACAATACAAAGAGTACAGTGTATGATTAAAAATAACTGGATAAGACAAAGTGTTTTAATGATTTTTTTTTCAGCTTTCCTTGTGCCCACACTATGTCACTTTTTACGTGGACTGTGCTTCAAAAAAAAAAAAGCATTACTGAGTGTATCATGGACAGTCAGTAAAGAAAAATGCAAAGATGTGTTTGTACAGTAGAATGATGAGAACTAACATTTTTCTTAAAGGTTCATTCCTAAAAGTGTCCTTGGAATGTTTAGTGGTTTACATATAATCTGCGACATCAATGCCTTTTGGCCCCAAAACATCAGATCTTAGCAAACCCCTAATTAGTGGCCTTTGTTAACAGCGACAGCAGGTCTATCTTGACCACACCCAACACAAATAAGGCCCTAGAACACATGCAGAGATAACAGACACATAAAAGACATTATGAACGAAATTCTCTTCGTGTGGAGGGGAAAACTGACCCATTGCCCAATAACAAGCATGTCATAAGAGCCTTCACCGGCTGTTAACTAAAGTGAAAAAATTATAGTTATTCACCTATTTCTGGACTTACTCTAAACTTGATTTTTGCATGCACATAAATTTTACATATCTGCTTATTTGTATACAGACTGTTGGCTCCTCACCTTTCAGGCAGAGGCGTTCTGATTTCGGAGGAAAAATCGCTTTCTGATCAAGGAAAAATCTCATCTTAGACATAACAATAAAATGAAATGTATAATACAATTTCATTCATACACTCTTGTCTGCTAACTATCAGGACACAGACCAAGTCTACTTGATGAGAAAGAAATGAGACAAGTGACGGAAAGTATGAGGGAGAGAAGTCCAAAATTATATGTCACAACCATACACAAACATGACATGTTTGGTTCATGGTGGACTGTATAAGGACAATAAAGTGGACATGGTGATGACTCTCTAGGATCAAGTGAACAGTGCTACAGAACAGAGCATTCACATCTGGAGAGACTGACTCAGCTAGAAGTAAGCAGAGGGTTTCTATGATTTTCAAGGGAAAAATGAATGTTAAATTGAAAATCTACATCATAGCGCTCAGGACACTACCACAAGTGCTCCATCCCCATCTTAAGCAGCAAATGAAGTTCCAACTCCGATGGCAAAAGTAACTGTCTGATTGTATATCCGTCTCGCCTTTCCCTTGAGTGCTAAGCATCGGCCAGATCCCCTGGCAACTCCTAGCAGCGCCATTCTCCTCAGGCTGTAATGATCCATGTGCGCTTCAGCACTGTTCACTCGCTTATGTGTACAGCTGATTCTCAAGCCAGCAGAATGCAGCAGTGATTGCCTCCACTTCCATTCTCAAACTAGACGTGATATCATATGCCGGACTTTGTTGCACTAAGCCAATATGGGGGAAAATGACAGAGGTTCAGTCACATGCATAATCAGTACGGAAATCTTCGGTGGCGACTGAGAAAGGGGATAAGCAAGTGTGGAAATGTCCCAAGGTCAGTGATGTCAATTTTTGATTGATCCATTCATTGTATAAGCACAGTCAAACAATATTCAAATACTCACAAGCTGTCAATATCTTCCGAGATAACACCCTCCACATATTTCATGAACGGCTCCAAGTTGAGGGCCACTTCCAACTGCTGAATATGCAGCGGCTTGGCAAGCTGGCGTCCATAGTTGTGCTCTACAGCCGACGCCTCTATCACAGACATCTTTTAATCTGGTACAGAATGTTCATTTAATATTTTAATTTGCATATAGTAAGAAATGGTGAACAACAAAAATGTAATAAAATGGTTATGATCTCAATTCATCATACCCGGTAATGAGAAAATGACAAACTGCCAAATCAAGGAATATTACATCCATCTGATAAAGAACTAATTTTTTTTATGAAGTTCGAAGGTTTAAAAAGAAATTGAGCTTACAAAAATAGCATTCACGTCACCAGGGAAATGACGCACACTCATCAAAACGAACATTCAGCAACTTTAAGACTAGAGAGGACATTAAGAGATTAAGAAACTTCTATAAGATAAAGACAGGAGAAACTGTTGAATGTAACTGGAAGCATCAAGTGATGCCTAAACATTCATTTCATTCTGTGTGAGTTCTGGGGTGCAACTGTGAGGAAAACTGAAACAGACACACTGCCTCCCCAACAAGCATGTCTCAGAAGTCAACTAATTGGGGACTTCCTTTGAAGTCGAAGTGCATCTGCCTGAGCGGCAAGGAACAACTAACTGCACACAAACAAGCCAGTTGAACGTTATGTACATGCAAAACTCAGGCTCAGGCACAAAACCAAAGCCCAAATGGACAAACAACCAGGACATTCTGCCAGAGTTTACAGCCAGTGCAGAGAAGAGGACTTATTTTAAGTGTGTCTAATACATGCATAAGAGAAACAATAATTGTTATTTAAACTGGCTCCATGTGATGTGAAAAATTAAAAACAGATGTTAAATGTTTCACATTCTAAAGTGAACAGAATTTGTTAAATTTGCCACATGTCTGTACTATCTTCATTAACCATTAATTAAACCAGGTATGTCCTTTTTTTTTAAATAGCTACATACAGTTAGCCATCATTCTGGAGCGTAATTACTTCCTTTTCTTCTTTGTTGGTCAAGTGACGCAAATGAGTTGTGCACGTTTTCAACTCCACTGTGATATATGCGCCTTTCAGCAAACATATTCTACTTCCGTGGGTATTTGTTTTTCTGTGTTAACCTTCCCATTCAGCTTTGTGGGACACTGCAGCCTTACTGCTGTAGCAACGTCTTTTTCTTCGAGGGGACAGCCATGTCAGCTTTCAAGGGAAGGCTGGAGAGTGCATACACATTTCTCAACATCCAAAAACAACACTCAGGTACTAGGTTCACCCAAACAAATCATTACGTTCTGATGATAATTGCTTGATTTTACATCCATGTACTAAAGTTCTAATTCATCGCGGGCTGCACTCTTCAGGGATTTACTTACTTTTTAAAATACAACTTTCCCCACTTTATTTATTTAATTCACACTTAACAAAGGAAATCCCAGTTCCCGGAAAAGTCCAATATTCTAGGGATGTTATGGGTTGGGGTTAGGCTTATTCAGTGTCTCTGAGATGGTTGGGCTTAAAAATAACCCTAACCCTAACTATACACCCCTAGTATACTGGACTCTTCCGGGAACTCCAGGAAAACCTTTGTTTTGGGTGAATTTTTAAAAAAATACCATATTTTTTCTTCAATAACATGCTATTTTTAGAATATTTATGTAATTAAATTTATTTCATGATAAACAAAAAAACCCAGTACAATGTTTTATTCAAATATTTTTTTTGGGGCTAATAAGTTACAGTAGCAATACTTACATTTTTTAATTTACTACATGATACACAAGAAAGCAGTACAGTGCCGGTTCGAGTGAATCTGATGTTCACTTCTGATGTGGTGACACCAAACTACACTGGAATCTGAAATGAAAAAACATAATTTACATTAATAAAAACATAACCTATTAATGTTCATACAAATAATACACTTACAATAATTTGTGATGCATCTGGCCAAAGCCTTATGTAAAGATGTAAAATCAGCTTGGATGTTTATACATTTCTCCTGTGGCAACATACAGATGTGATTCATGGACTATTTTGCAATCACTAAAAAAAAAAAAAAATCAAGGCTTCTTTAATTTAAATTTTCTCCATATGAATTTCCAGGACTCATTGGGGGGGGGGGGGGGGGGGAAGGGGGGAGAGATTACAAAAACTGCCCCACAATAAGCATGCTGATAAAGATCAGGGGTTTGCTGAAAGTAAATTAAGGACGAATGGACCGGTGACATTTTACGAAAAAGTAATAGAACCTTCCCTTCAGTTTTGTTTACATCAAGCTGTTTACCCCAACTCTGTCAGATTTTCTGCATGTCAGCCTTCACAATTCTTTCTTTGCCAAGTCTTCATTTGACAATCTGGTGTAAATCATCTTCACATTCTTCTTCTTTGTTCACCGACTGTAAGCTCCGTCAGATGATCCTGGTTATTCATCCATTTGGACTGTGGCTTTTTGCCAGGGCATGAGTTTTGCGTGTACATCTATTTTACTGGCTTATTTGTGTGATGTTGGTTGTTCCTTGCTGCTCAATTACTTTTCTCCTATGACATGCTTGTTGGGAAGGCAGTGGGTCTATTCTTGTTTTCCCCCACAATGTGGCCCCTGAACCAACATGGGGATGAAACCTCACACTAATTAGCTATTTACTCCAGAGAAAAATCTAGGTTGTGTATTTAGAAAAATAACCTTGGTTCTCAGGTTAATCCAGTCTGCGACTGTACCAGGTACAGTCCTGGGAAATAAAAGACGGCTGATGTGATGCTGACCACACCAGCCACCCAGTGCCGACTGATCAATAAAATATAGGTTTAGCCCTATATACCCAATATGCCTAGAGGCTTGAAAAAAGGGTCCTTCACTTTCATAACTTTTACTTCGAAACAGGAGAGCAGTATCTGACCAGTGACTGCTCCATCCAAAAAACATCCACGACAGACAACAATATTATCTGTACTGAAGGGCTGACTGATGACCAATCAATTAATTGGCATATCCTTTACAGAACATCACTCTATTTTTGGCATACACGAAAGTCTGCAACCTGTGTACTTTTATACCCAATGCATCTTTAATGTCCTATATTGTGGTGGTCGACCAGTCTCATTTTCTAGAAACTGCACCTTCCATCACAACATGGTGCTTGACATGTCCAAATACCTTAACCTTTGGGAGAGGTCAGTTCTCAGTTCACTGATGTAATGGTTGGGCTGGATATCAACATTTTTTTTTCCATGGTAGTCTATTAATTTTTTTGTAGTTCAATAGCTGTAATTTTCTTCTTCAAAGATTGAGTAACAGTCCAGGTTTCACAACTATAAGCTGCCAGTAAAAAGATGCATGATATCAAAATTTTATACTTTAACTCGCTTGCAGGAGTTGTGCCACAGGTTCTTTATGTTGTTTAGCCTCTGCATTAATTTATGACAATCATATTAAAGTTTGTGACACATAATCTAAACAACTCATCGAGCTGAGCTCCTCATGTGAGTTACAGGGTCTACTGTGGGAAAGGGGGGGGAAACAGACCCACTTCCTACCCAAAAGCATGTTGTAAGAGTCGACTAGCTAAAAAGCTTCCTTGGAAGTCAACAAGCATCTGCCTGAGAGGCAAGGAACCAACCGTTTGCATGCAAATAAGCCACATCGTAAAATGGATGCGCATGCAACATTCAGGTTCTGGAACAGGAATAGAGTCCAGAAGCAGCTGAGCAATCAGAACTTTAAACTGGAGTTTAGAGCCGGAAGATTTGGGTTCGGCAGAGCCAAGCACGAGAGATACACCAGATGTAAGGTAAGTCTTGTAAACCAGCCCAGAACTAGCACAATTAACTGCTGGCAAGGAGCAAACAGTCTGCATACAAGTGAGCCTTATCCATTAAATGGATGTGCACGCAACAACATTCAGGTTCTGGAACAAGAAGAAGTGGATAAACACTCAGAACTTTCCACCTGAGTTTACAGCTAAGGACAGTGAAGAAGACTGGGCCTTGAGAGAATGCAAGGGCTGGGAGTCAATTTTGGCAGAGCTAGGCATGAGAGTCACACCAGATGTAAGAGAAGTCTTGTAAACCAGCAAAGAACTGGCAAAATTAACTGTGGGACACTGCTGTAAATGAGACAGGGAGAGGGTTGCAACTCATAATAATAATGAGGAAATATGCAACACATGGCTGAATTGTTAAATTCTGAAATTTATCCACAGGAAGAGATACTAACATGTGAAACAAACATTAAAGAGCCTGATTTTGAGGAAGTATTGAATGTCATAACATGGCTTAAAAACAATAAAGCAGCTGGTGCTAATGAAATTGCTTAACTTATAAGATGGTAGTCATGCATTACATTTAAAGATTAACGAATTTAAAAAACTAGTTTGAAAGACTGAAAAATTACCCTATCATTGGAAAGAGTCATTAATACCCATTTTTAAGAAAGGAGACAAGTGTTAATATGAAAATTATAGAGGAATATCACTATTATCTACAAGCTTTAAGATACTATCAGCGGTACTGCTAAATATTTTTTTTAAACGAATATATATTGGGTTATTACCAAGCGAATTTCTGACAGAACAGATCAACAATCAATCAGATATTCATTTTACAGCAAATAGCAGTAGCAGGATTTTAAAATGGCATATGATACAGTACATAGAAACAGTTTATGCAATGCTATGAAGGACTTTGAAAAACCACAGAAGTTTAATCACCATGACCAAACTATATATGGAAGACACTTATAATATAGTAACACATAAAGGCAGAAAGTCAGACCCTTTTCAAATAACATCTGGTTTAAAGCAAGGTGATGCTCTGTCTTATCTTCTTTTTCAACATAGCCCTCGAGTAAATTATTTTAAAAATTTACAGAATAGTGTACTCTACAAGAATACTTGCAGATGACATATATATCATTGGAGAAAAGGAACTAGAAACTAAAAACCCTGACTCTCTTAAAAGAAGCAGCTCACTAAAATAGAACTAGTTACCAGTCAAGATAAAACAGAATACATGATAATAACAGGAGAGGGAAAGAATTTAAACTTCGGCGACACAACTCAATAATACAAACTAGAGATGCCTTATTACAAATTTTCAAAAACA